TCACACATGATAAATTCAGCCAATATTTCTATCCCTAAGCCCTGCAACTCTGTCTTGTACATCATGCAAGACTAACTCTGGCATCTCAGCCTCATTAACTAAAAGCCACTAATGACTCCACAGTCAGCTTAACATATAGGCTGTTAGAGCCACCTCCTCCCTCTGCTTGAGCTAACACAATAAATCCAGACTCTTTAGTACTGCACAAAATCAATGAATTTGATCCATTTATATATTTATTGTATTTGGTCTATTTGTATATTTTACCCTTATTGGTTAAACAGCCTTAGAATCCATACCCATAGTTGCTCCCCTCTTTTCTGATAATAAATACTGGCAAAATATCATTTTTTCTGATGTGCCCATTATTTTACTGGGTCATGAAGAGAATTAGTACAAGTTATGGGTTGTGGTAAGTCTTCAGAAGAATTGCCATCTTTTTTTTTTTTGTCTGTAATTTGGTGGACTGTTTTCTTTTTTTTTAAATATATTTTATTGATTATGCTATTACAGTTGTCCCATTTTCCCCCCTTCACTCCCCTCCACCCTGTACACCCTACACCCTCTCCCATCTACTTCCCCCCCCTTTAGTTCTTGTCCATGTGTCATACTTATGAGTTCTTTAGCTTCTACATTTCCCATACTATTCTTACCCTTCCCCTATCTATTTTCAACCTACAATCTATGCTACTTATTCTCTGTACCTTTTCCCCCTCTCTCCTCTTCCCAACCCCTGTTGCTAACCCTCCATGTGATGTCCATTTCTGTGGTTCTGTTCCTGTTCTAGTTGTTTGCTTAGTTTCTTTTGGTTTTGGTTTAGGTGTGGTTGTTAATAATTGTGAGTTTGCTGTCCTTTTACTACACATGTTTTTTAAAATCTTCTTTTCTTAGATAAGTCCCTTTAACATTTCATAAAATAAGGGCTTGGTGGTGATAAACTCCTTGAACTTGACCTTATCTGAGAAACACTTTATCAGCCCTTCCATTCTAAATGAAAGCTTTGCTGGATAAAGTATTTTGGGATATAGGTCCTTGTCTTTCATGACTTGGAATACTTCTTTCCAGCCCCTTCTTGCCTGTAAGGTCTCTTTTGAGAAATCAGCTGACAGTCTGATGGGAACTCCTTTGTAGGTGACTGTCCCCTTATCTCTTGCTGCTTCTAGGATTCTCTCCTTCATTTTTACCTTGGCTAATGTAATTATGATGTGCCTTGGTGTGTTTCTTCTTGGGTCCAACTTCTTTGGGACTCTCTGAGCTTCCTGGACTTCCTGGAAGTCTATTTCCTTTGCCAGAATGGGGAAGTTCTCCTTTATTATTTGTTCAAATACGTGTTCAATCTGTTGCTTTTCCTCTTCCCCTTCTGGTACCCCTATAATTCAGATGTTGGAATGTTTAAAGATGTCCTGGAGGTTCCTAAGCTTCTCATTTTTTTTTTGAATTCTTATTTCTCCATTCTTTCCTGTGTGGTTGTTTTTTCCTTCCTTCTGGTCCACTGTATTGTTTTGAGTCACAGTTTCCTTTCCCTCACTATTGGTTCTCCGTGCATCTTCCTTCATCTCTTTTATGGTAACCTGCATTTTTTCATCTAATTTGTGACCAAAATCAACCAATTCTGTGAGGTTCCTGATCACCAGTGTTTTGAACTGTGCATCTGGCAGATTGGCTATTTCTTGGTCACTCAAAAGGATGAGTCCCGGGGCATTGATCTGTTCTTCTGTTTGAGACATGTCTCTCTCTCTCTTTTTTGTTTTTTTTTTTGGGTGGGGGGTCTGGTTGCTCCTGTTACAGTGAGGGGCAGAGCCTTAGGTGTTCACCCAGGCTGGGCACCCCAGTCACTAGATTGTGATGTTATGGGTGAGGGTGGGGGTGGGGGTGGGGGTGGGGAGGAACAATGGCGGTAGCTCCATTCTCCTGGGACCACAGTCCCTTGTCTGGGATCCTGGGTTGCACACTCTGCCCTGGTCCACAGTTGCTGCCTCATTGGGTCCGCCAGCTGCCGGTTTCGTACTCAGGGTCCACCTGCTGTGATCTTGCGCGCCCCAGATGCCTTACGCACTCCCGGTTGCCTAATGTGCCCAGTTCTCCCTGTACTCCGTGCACGCATGTGCCGCGCCCCGCGCCCAGCTGCTCCTCTCCACCCCTCCTACCGGTCTGGATGAATGGGTCTACTTCAACTTCTTGGCTATCTGACTTCCATTCAGATAAATTCTCTATCAGTTCTGGGTGTTATTCTACCTCTAAATTGTTGTTGTTCTAATCTTGGTTGTGCATGGAGGTACGGTGCGTCCACCTATGCCTCCATCTTGCCGGAAGTTGAATTGCCGTCTTTTAAAATAAAATGTTATTATTTATTTCAGAGAGAGGGGAAGGGAGGGAGAAATGTGGAGAGAAACATTGATGTGAGAGAGAAACATCCATCAGTTGCCTTTCCTATCTCCCCCAAGCAAAGATTGAACCTACAACCTAGGTATGTGTTCTAACTGGGAATCAAACTAGAAACTGAACCAGCAACCTTTTCGTTTTGCAGGACAACGCCCAACAAAGTGAGCCACTCTGGTCAAGGCGAATTGACGTTTTTTTTTAGAAGTGGCTACCCCAGGTGATATTCAGAGGAAGACTAGTCTCCTCAGACACCTGGTAAGAGAGATTCAGTCACTTAAGAGTTCCAAATTATTTTCTTTTTCATTTAACTGTATGTCCCCATTCCAAGATTCTTTTTTGTTGTTGTTGTTGTTCATTTTTATTTTAAATATTTTAAATTGTTGTTCAATTCCAAGATTCTGAATTTCATTATATGTATCAGTGCCCTAAATGTTACATGAGAAATACTGTGGTACTGTATTTAACTTTTATGGTAATCACAAAATACATGTTTTTATTTTTCAGCAATATATACACTGTAGCTCCAGAAATCAGAGCTTCTTTTAGGGCTCTCGTGGAACTTTCTTGTGCTAAGACTTGAATTTACCATTTTCTCTTTGTAAGCAATAACATGAAATCAAAAGTATTCTTTCCTAACCACAGTCTTTGTAGTCACTCTCACTACATGATCATTGCTCACCTCCCTGGTCTTGAGATCTGTGATACTTATCTCTTTTTCAAAGTCAGTCCCAAGTAACATTAATTATGATACCATTGTGTGCCATGAGTCAGTAGCATCCAATTTCTCATGGGTAGGTACTGAGCACTTCATTCAAGCCTAAGGGTATGGCCAAACCAATCTCAAAATTTCATCCTTATGGATTTATCTACTAGGACTATTGCCAAAACCAATTCATTATGGGGTTGAATTAGGAGAAAGGAATTCCATAACAATTTTTATAGAGAAATTTTAATAAAAATTTTAACCCAAACAGTGCAGTATTGAGGAATTGTAAGTTATTTGTAAAAATAATTCTAAAAACAGTGAGCTTACAAAATATTTACACATATACATAACTTAAAATTATTAAAAATTGCCAACAGAACTGTAGAAAAAAGTTGTATCTGACTGAAAAACTTTTATGTAAAAGAAATCACAGAAATCAATAAGAAACAGACCAATCGGCAGGACATAAAATAGGCAACATATTTGGGCAGATTCTTCATTAAAGAACACAATAATTATTAGGCTAGAAGAGTTGTTTCATATTAGTCATTAAATTGTAGCTTAAAACTTCAATGAGAAAGCACTACAAGTCTGCTAAGATGAAACCAATTAAAAAGAATCACAATACCAAGATTGGGCTCATTGGGGTTGTTGATAAATATTATCTGAGGTCTTAACTCTTTTCCCCCTTCACTGACATTTTCCCAGATATATTTCTACCACTGTCTTTTAATTACATGGTCATTATTAATATCTTTCTGTAAGTTGCATTTCATAACTTTTTTTCTGGCACATGAATTCCTCATGCACAAGATTCCCAGCAATCACCAGAGTAATGATCACTTCTAATCAAAACGAAAAGAGATGATGGTGTTCAGATTCCCCATTTGCACATGTGTTCTGCTTGAGGGCACTGTAGTCACTATCCCATACCCAAATAGAATTTGGTAAGTTGCTCTCCATTTTAGAAATATGTCAGATATTTACTGGAATTGCATATAACTTATAATATTAAGTTGGAAATACTTAATGGGTAATCAATGTTGTTCTACAAAGTAAGGAAACCCACTTAGAGATGCAATATGGCTCCAGAAGCAAAGGTGTCTGTATAATGCTGTACTCTGTGTTTTAATTTTCTATAGCCTCAGGCTTGGCTGGCATTCTAGAAAACTCAAAGATAAACATCATACTTCTATGAGGGAGGTTAATGAATGTACACAATGTAATAACTGCCTGATATTATCTATTAATTTAGGAATGCATTGTTCTTTCTGGTTGTCTACATGACTACCCATGATATGGTTTTACTGTTAATCCTTATAGAAAGGAATCCTGTCCTGGGAGCAGTGTGCATTCTTTCCATTTGGCCACCACTGGGAGAAGCTGCATTGCCCATGTATGTAAGTGTCTCCTATTAAAGATCTTAAGAATTTGAATAAGGCTACATTTAAATTCTTCAGAGTGGGAGCTGACTGTAGACTTTTGGGGCTTTCCTCAACAGACCATCACTGAAGACACGGAGAGATGTTCTCTGTGGGAACCAGAGGCAAAGATAACTCCTTGTCCTCCTCCTTGAGGGCAACCTAAATCCCTCCCTATCTTCCAAGTCCTGGCTCAGACTAAATATCAGAGAGTTACAAAATCTATTTATGATTCTGACTCCATGTATTTGAATTGGCAGAAAATGTTTACCACAGTCCAGCTAAGAGTGGATGCATTTTGTGTCTGAGTTAAAACACCTGTCCATTTAGATTTGTAGTATTAAGGAATAACTGGAATAATACTTTTCACCTCAGGGAGCATTCTGAGTTACACAGTCAGAAGGAATGTCTCCAAACAAGTGATCAGTTGCAGCCCACACTTCTCAGACACCCAGAACCGCCTCTGAAACCTAAAGCTGTCGTTTCCCAGCGCCAGTAGCTGAGCCACGACCTCTTTTATTCGCCAAGGTCAGTGTCTGGAATGCTAAAGTCCCCTGTGCTGCTGAGGAAACTACATTACCCAAGAGGGCAATGCAAACAACGACTGCTGGCTTAAGGCCCTGAACCGATGGGAGAAGGGTATTTAGTGCGTGCCTATCAGATTGGGGCGGGATTTCCCTTGTCCTCTTGGTGGCGGTCATTTTGAGTTCTCCAGTTTGTTCTTCAAGTCAGAAGCTCCGGAGCGTGAGGTGGCGACCGAACAGGCGCCAGAGAAGTGCTTCCTGATGCTCAGAGGCACGTCCAAAGCTTGAGGACCAGCAGCTGACCGAATTGGGGCTTCTGAGCCTCGCAGTCTCAGCTCCGCTCACAGTGTCCGCTGGCCAGTAGCCGCGCTGAGGCGCCCTGCTGAGGTGAGTGCTCAGCCCTGGGGTCCTCTCCCCTCGTCCGACCGATAGCGAGCGCTGCAGCTCGGGTGCGGGGCGCCAGTCACGTCCTGCAGCCCAGGTCCTGGCATTTGGGACCGCGAGGTGCTCCTGGGTGACATGGTTTGACAGGCTGAGGGGCCACTGCGTAAAGACGCACAGGGGTGGCTGCACAGGGGCGGCTGCACAGGGGCGGCTGAACCGGGAGAATCGGGAACACCCAGGCGCTGCTTTGTGTCTCAAGGCAACGGAGAAGCTGAAGCGAAGTTGTACGTGAGGAGTTGTAGTTTTTTTCTCTGGATACCGGAGTGGTGGAAGGTTGTGAATAAAAGAGGGACCTTAGCTGAGATCGGGTTGTAATGTTTTCCAAACACAGCTGAGAGGCCAGAAGAGGTGACAGCAGTTGGAGAGAGGAAGGTGAATCCTGTAAAAGCTGATGTGACTGCACAAGAGAGTCTGCACTGAGAACCGAGGCCCTGAGGTAGTGCAGTCAGCTCCAGGGCTCCTGGCCCCTGGCAGGTAGAGGGCCCTTAGTGGCCTGCCTGTGGGTGCCGCGGTGGCCAGGCTCTCAGCAGACAGTTCTCTTTCCACACATTCTGCGACTGCAGAATCCCTTAGGATCCTGGTTTGTGTTTCAGGGCCTCCCACTCTTATGGTCTTTGAGAGAGAGGTGTTTGGGGACGTGGTGCCACTCTTCCAGTCCTTGAGTCTGGGGCCCTTGAACTGACACCAAGCCCAGGGTCCTTAGTTCAGATTAAGATTTATATGAAGTGGTTCCTGTTTTTGGCAACAAGTGAAATGAGATTTGGGAGATCTTCCAGGCAAAGATAGGAGGAGAGGCTGAGCTGAATCAGGGAACTGTGCAGTTTGCTTTTGTTTTTATAATATGGGACAGATGGGAAAGGAGTCAGGTGTAGAGCAGCTTTGTGTCAAGTTGGGTGTGTGTTTGGCTGGTCATGGGGGATACAGAATATTTTGAGGGGTGGAGGCAGATGATCTAACCCAGGTCTCATTAGAATACCTGTGAATGTGGAGGGTGAGGGGCATAACTAACTTGGAATCCTAGAACAGAAATTGATGATGGAATGAACCATCCCCATTCTGACAGGATATGAACTTTGCGGACTTGGCCATTGCCTTCTCCCAGGAGGAGTGGGGGCTCCTTGGTGAGGCTCAGAGACTGCTCTACTATGATGTGATGCTGGAAATCTTTGCCTTTGTAACATCTGTTGGTAAGACTTTTGCATTTGCCTGGTGTCCTGAGGTGATATGCTATCTTCTCCATTTTCTTTAGAGGTAGCTTTGTCTTTTTCACAGCAAGACCATTTGCTATGCTAATTTACACCACTTTCTTGTCATCTGTGCTGTGTCTGCCAATGCAGAGCTGTGTGGAATGCACTGGGCCATGGACACCCTAAGCATCCCTGTCACCTGTTGTCTCAAAAAGTTATGGAAATATCCATGAGTCAGAAATCTTGCAGAGAGCTTAATAGATCCCACCTTGTTAACATGCCTTCTCTTTTGCTTGGTGACTCTACAAATTAATGGCCTTGAGCTCTTCCTCACTGCCTCTAGCTAACTGTTCATTGTTACTGCCTGTGCCAGGTCATGGTCATTACATAAACTGTGGGTATTCTTGTAAAATCCTCCTCAATTGTTCTTTGTAATATTGTCTTCCCTGAATACTATTGTATGAAGACTTGCTCTGAGCCAGTGCTGGCTGCTCAGTACTGTGGTCTTTCATTAAGGCTTGGATTATTCAGATTCTGAGATTCTTTCACAATAGAAGGTGCAGGAAGAAAACTGGTAATTTTCACAGGTTAGACAATGCAGGATAGTCTTAAATGAGGCCTGGTCCTGGTGAGTGGCAGCTGGATGAGGGCATGAGATAAGGGCTGTATTCAGGTCATACCAGCAACCTCCCCTGTGTCCAGTATTGTTTTGGTTCAAGTGCCACTGGGCACAAATTATTTTTACCTTTTGTTTCCAATACTTGACACTTTGTTGACTTGTCATTTCATGTGTGACTTTGTGGCTCCTGACTACCTTCACTTTTGTACTGTCTGTGTGTCAGCATTTTACTGCACTTCCTACTCTGCGGTATTGTCAAACATCCACCTGTGCATGTTTTATGAGGTGCATATACATCTTTAAGTAGTCCTCAAATACCAGCTACTCATTTATTGAATTTTACTGGGAGAAAGATGTAACCAACATTCCGCATAGCTTGCCCGTGTCACCAGCACACACAGTGTTAGCAGAAGACTGGGTTGTGGGTTTGGCTTCTCTTTCATGTGGTGCATGTAACCTGTCCTTTTTTTTTGTTTTGTTTTGTGAAGTGTCCCCTAATTTGTGGTTTTAGAGGCCCATTACTATACAACAGCCCCTTATTTAACCTGTCTCCAGGTATCTTATTTTCAGATAATCCCATGAAACCAATGTATTATGTCTGACAGTCTTTTGAAATGGGCCTTACTCCTTCCATCAAAGTCAATATCCATTTCCTCAGTATTTCTCTACTTTCAGGGTGTTGGCATAAGATGGAAGATGAAGAGGCCCCTGCCGAGCATATTGTATCTATAGAAGGAGAGTCACAGGTAAGGGTTTCTACAACAACTCCAGCAATGCAGAAGACCCATCTCTGTGAGCAGTGTGTCTCAGCCTTGAAAACTGTTTTGCACCTGACTGAGTTCCAAGCAGCATACCTTGAGCAGAAAGCATTCTTCAGTGACGTGTGTGTGAGAGGCTTCTGTATCAGTGCAAACTTTCACCAACAACCAAGGCCTGCCAGGGGAGAGAATCCCAGGAAAACAAATATGGACAGGGCCTGGTTTGTGACTAGGTGCAGGTGCTGTGTATCAAGGGCACTTTTCACCAGGAGAGAGGTTGAGGAGGACTTCCCGGCCATCTTAGGCCTTCTCCAACACCAGGCCACTCATAACAGCGAAGAGCCACTCAGTTGTGGTGAGAGTTGGCAGGCCTTTCATGGTGGAAAAGGTCATCATCGATGGGGTGAACATGAAATAGTTGCCAGCTACAACCACAGTGTCGTTCATTGTCATGGTGTCTGCTCGGGAGAGTGGCTTTATGAGTGTAGCAAATGTGGGAAAGCCTTTAGACAAATCTTTTACCTCATTCGACATAGGAGAGTTCATATGGGAGAAAAGCAATACGAGTGCAGTGTTTGTGGGAAGTGCTTTAACCGCAAATTTTCCTTTATTCAACATCAAAGTGTTCACACAGGAGAAAAGCCGTATGAGTGCAGTGTTTGTGGTAAATGCTTCAGCTGCAAATATATCCTCATTCAACACCTTAGAGTTCACACTGGAGAAAAGCCTTATGAATGCAGTGTTTGTGGGAAATGCTTTAGCTACAAATTTAATCTTAGTAAACACCAGAAAATTCATGCTGGTAAAAAACCCCATCAGTGCAGTGATTGTGGAAAGTCCTTCGGTGAAAGCTCTGCTCTCATTCAACACAAAAGGGTTCACACTGGAGAAAAGCCATATGAGTGTAGTTATTGTGGGAAGCCCTTCAGACAAACCTCCAGTCTCATTCAACACTACAGAATTCACACGGGAGAAAAGCAGTATGAGTGCAGTGTTTGCGGGAAATGCTTTCGCCGCAAATTTAACCTAATTCGACATCAAAGAATTCACACTGGAGAAAAGCCATATGAGTGTGGAGATTGTGGGAAGTTCTTCAGCCGAAGCTGTAAGCTTATTGAACACCAGAGAGGCCATACTGGTGAAAAGCTGAATGAGTGCAGTGTTTGTGGGAAACGCATTCGCCACAAATTTAACCTCATTCAACATCAGAGAATTCACACTGGTGAAAAGCCGTATGAGTGCAGTGATTGTGGGAAGTCTTTCAACCAAAGTTCTGCCCTCATTCAACATCAGAGAGTTCACACTGGAGAAAAGCCTTATGAGTGTAGTAATTGTGGGAAATGCTTTAACTACAAATATATACTCATTCAACACCAGAAAATTCACAGTGGAGAAAAGCCATATGAGTGCAGTGATTGTGGAAAATGCTTTAGCTACAAATACATACTCATTCAACACCAGAGAATTCACACTGGAGAAAAGCCGTATGAGTGTAGTGATTGTGGAAAGTTCTTCCGCCATAGCTCTGGCCTCATTCAGCACCAGAGAGTTCATACTGGAGAAAAGCCGTATGAGTGTAGTGATTGTGGGAAATGGTTTAGCTACAAATATGTACTCAATAACCACCAGAGAATTCACACTGGAGAAAAGCCGTATGAGTGTATTGATTGTGGAAAGTCCTTCAGCCAAAGCTCTGCCCTTATTCAACACCACAGAGTTCATACTGGAAAAAAACCATATGAGTGTAGTGAATGTGGGAAATCCTTTCGACGACGCAGCCAACTTGTTCAACACTGTCGAGTTCATTCTGGAGAAAAGCCTTATGAGTGTGGGGAATGTGGGAAATACTTTAGCTATACATCTAACCTCATTCAACACCAGAAAGTTCATAGTAGAGAAAGACCTTATGAGTGTAGTGAGTGTGGGAAGTCTTTTGGCCACAAATCTCACCTTCTTCGGCACCGGAGAGTTCACACTGGAGAAAAGCCCTATCAGTGTAGTGAATGTGGGAAGTCTTTCAGCACAAGCTCTTCCCTCATTCAACACCAGAAAGTTCACTCTGGTGAAAAGCGATATGAATGCAGTGATTGTGGGAAGGCTTTTAGCCAAAGTTTTAAACTCATTGAACACCACAGGTGTCACACTGGTGAAAGGCCTTATGAATGTAGTGAATGTGGGAAGTCCTTTAGGCAGCGCTCTAGCCTTTTCCGACACCGCAGAATTCACACTGGAAAAAAACCTTATTAGTGAAGCAAATATGGGAAAGCCTTTGGACAAAATTGTAACCTTATTTGACATTAAGAAAGATCATACCAAAGAAATGCCTTATGACTGTAACGACTGGCAAATCCTTGTGACATCCTCCCAAATTGTCCACATTATCAAGTTTATTCTGGAGAAAAGCTTCATGAGTGTGACATATGAGGGAAATCTTTTAGCACTCCTCTAGCCTCCTTGATCACTACAGAGTTCACGCTGGAGAAGAGTTGTATGAGTGTAATGAATGTTGGAAGTCCTTCAGCCAGACCTCTACCCTTATTAAACATCAGAGAGTTCACACTGGTCTAAGGTCTTGCAAATGTGGTATATGAAGAAAGTCCTTTAGAAATAGCTGTAGCCTTTTTGACACCACACACTGTAGACTAGAGAACAGCTTATGAGTGCAGCAAATATTTTTAAAAAGTACCCTGACTGGTGTGGCTCAGTGAGTTGGGTGTTGTACCACAAACCAAAAGATTGCTGGATCAATTCCCAGTCAGGGCACATGCTTGGATTTTAGTCCAGGTCCCTAAATGGGAGCATGTGAGAGGCAACTGATTGATGTTTATCTTCCTCTCTCTCTCCCTCCCTTCCCTTCTCTCTAACAAGTGAATATTTTTTAAAATGTCCAAAACACCTTAAATTTTTAACCTGATTTTCACATAGGAAATTTAACACCAGAGAAATGCCTTATGAGGGTAGTGGTTGCAGTAATTGTATTGGGGAAAACTCGAGCCTCACTAATCACTGGAGAGTTCACACTGGAGAAAAGCTGTGTGAATGCAGTCTTTGTGGAAAATGCTTTAGTCACAAATCTAAGCTTATGCAACACCAGAGAATTCATACTGACAAAAGACATGTGCACTGAATGTGCAAAATCCTATAGTGAACACTGCACCTTACTCAACACTCAAGTTCGTTCACAAATCTCACGTCTTTATATATACACTGGGGAGCTCACAATGAAGAAAAGCCTTAAATATGCTTGTAATGTTTTATTTCCTCACTATAACAGCACTGGAAGAGACTCTTTACAACCATTTACCTAAATTTAAATTTGGTGGAATGTACACTGTGTTAGATTTCTCATAAGTTCCAGGAAGAAATGAGGCTTTAAGAAGTTTCATTTTCTAACCTGAACTGTGCTATCACCAGATTGATGTCAGTGCCAGTTTTTGTGAGTAAAGCCATTTTATTTCTATAACTTGGCTCACCTGCAAAGTGTGTGTCGGTCACAACTGCAACGTACTCAGGGAAACTGACCCTGGTATTCTCACTTGCTTGAGGAAATTATGAATACTCCAAGCTCTTGGCATGATCCTCATTCCTTTCTGTCTGACTGTTGACTGAGCTGACCCACATGGTTCAGCAGACCCATCCTTAGCTAAGAAGGACTTTTTCTTTCAAGGACATTGTTATCACATTATGCTGGGATGAATATTTCTAAGTTCTCATTCACCAACCTGTAAATTTGTAAACTGCTTGCTGTTCACTGCTTTTGATAATGATTTTTGTGTGTGTGTGAAGGTCCTTTCGCTTTTGTACCTTTAATGTTGGTGGTTGTATTTAGTGGGTGGGATGATTTGAAAGGAGAATTGTGATCTGTCAGCATGTAGAAGTAGATAGATATTATGGAGATCCGAGACTTCTGTGCTTGGGAAGGTAAGGTGTGATGGCAAAAATCACTCTTTGTTCAATATAAGTTTTGTAATTATACCCAAGGCCTTGAAAGAAAGAATGCATGACTTTGTGGTCCTAATTTGTAGCCTGGTACCATAATTATTGGGGAGGTCAAAGATCACCCCAAGGAGGAGGCTTTTGTTGTACTTCTATGAACAAAATGGATTCTTTTGCTTTGTTTACATTTATATTACATAATTCCCAGCAATGTTGAAGGGACCTACTCCACAGGTTGTGCAAGGAGCCATGTGCCATTATGTGCAAAATTTCATAGATTGGTGTCATTTGTTATAAAACTCTGGGTTACATGGAAGCACAATTGAGACAGAAACACTGTGTTAATAGGGAATGGAAGAGACTGCAGTAAATTAGGTGGGAGGTACCTCTTCTGAATGTTCATCCACAAATGTTTCAGGGACTATGGCTAGTGTGACCTGTGTATACAACATTCTGAGGCCCTCCATAACTGTTTCCTAACTGTTTCATCTGCCTCATTGGCAGAGAAAATAATCTAATGGTTTGTGGTCTTTTCCTAGCCTCTCTGGGGTGTTCATCTCAGGGTTATTGCTCTATAGGCAAGAGAACAAAACTAGCGAGAAGGGTGATTCTGTAGTCAGTCCTAGGATGTGTTCTTTGTGACCCAGCCAGCGTTGCTGTTGATTCAGAATGCAATAGTCTTCATTACTTGCCAGTATTTTTTAAAAAGACTGTATATTTATTTTTAGAGAAAGGAGAATAGAGGGAGAAAGAGAGGTTGAGAAACATCAATGCAAGAAACATCAATTGGTTGTCTTCTGTCTGCTCCCCCAACAGGGGACCATACCAGCATCACAGGCATGTTTCCTGACCAGGAGTCACCCTGGTGACCTTTCACTTAGTAGGATGGTGCCCAAGCAACTGAGTGCCTTAGTCAGGCCTGCTTGCCAATATTTGTTGCCACTGAGGCAGACTGCCCCTCACAGGATATGAAAAGAAAGGAGGTAGAGTTTCTGTACAGTTGAAAACCTGATTTTTTTACAACCTAATTTTCTAAGAAAAGAAGGATATCCAGGTTTTTATTTTGAACTATTTTATAAAGCTTTATTCAGGTATACATATAATGGACATGTGACAAAGTACACTTATCTAATGTGTACTGTTTAGTGAGCTTTGACATAAGGATAAACTGAAACTCACAGGTAAAAAAAACTTAACTGTCACCCATATACAGGTTCAGCAAAAATAGGTTTACAGTTGTAAGTATGCAAAACACCAAGTTAATTCTTGCATTATTATTTATTATTATGTTATTATTTATTTAAAAAACTGTAAACTTATTTTTGTCCTACCCTGTATTTAAGTTACCTCCTGCCCTTTTATAATCTCTCTCCCTGTCTTCCTTAGCCCTCCAGCTGGTTGTTGATTTATCTTCCTTTACAATAGATTAGTTCATGTATTATACAATTTTAAAGGCATTATAAGGTGTATATCTCTTTAACAAGTACTTTTATGCTGCACAGTTATTTTGTGATTCAACAATAACACTTACGTAAAAAGCTAATTCTTTTATTTCTGAGTAAATTTGTGTTATATAGGTAATACTTTGTTTATTCATTTATCTGTCTATGGTTTGGGCTATTTCTAGGTTGGGGTATTACAAATAAAGCTATGAATACTTGCATTCAGTTCTCTATATGTATATATGTTTTATTTCTCATGCTGTTATAGTGTCAGTGAATGTTTTGTATTTTTAGAAATGCAAAACTATGATCTAAAATGGTTTCCTTTACCTTCCCATTCATCCACAGCATAAGAAAATTCCATTTCTATCCTTTTGTAGTTCATAAGCATGATGATGGGGTGTTTTCGCTCTTGTGTGACATGTGCCTCCCACAAACCTTGTTATGACTTTGGCACATTACCTGCCTGACATGAAAAAAAAAAGAAAAAGAAAATTCCATTTCTTCTGCAACCCTGCCAGCACTTGCTGTGGTTAATCTTTTTAAATATTAGTCCTGGAAGTCAGTATAGTGGTAACTTGCTTTGGATTTTATTCCATTTTCTTAAGAATTTATAATGGTTATCTTTTTTTAATACATTTATTTACTCTGTCTTTATTTCTTTTGATAACATGTCTGCTTGAATATTTTTGCCTGTATTCTTTTTATGAATTTATTATTTTAACCAATAGGACACAGTGAAGCAACAAAGACATATGTTGGAATTTCATTCATTTTCCAATGACCTGAGTGACTTCTTTGTCATATGGAACAATTATTTTTGAGTACTGGAAGGAGTATTGTTTTTTTCTCAATTTTTATATTTATATACAACTTAAGCCCACTTGTACCATACACTTATAAGTTTAACCTACAATTTTAATGTATTATCCACCACTTTCTTAAGTGTAAACATTCCATACTACATTGTCAAGTCTAGGTTTGTAATCTTTTGTCAATTTCCCTGGTGTAAATACTCTCATCATGGTCAGTTTGAAACTGCCAAATAGATGTCACTGAACATGGAGAATGTAAGATATTCCAGTAGAACACAACTATATTTTATTTCTATCATACTGATACAGTAACAACAAATAAAAACTTCAAAAACATCAATAATAAAACAGTAAAATGACTGGGAAATTGCAAGTTTAAAACAGTGTTTTTTAAAAGTGTGACTTCTGCCTTGGCTGGTGCTCAGTGCACTGAGTGCTGGCCTATGAACTGAAAGGTTGCTGGTTCGATTCCTGGTCTGGGCACATGCCTGGGTTATGGGTGAGGTCCCCAGTTGGGGTCATGGAAGAGGCAACTGATCAATGTATCTCACACATCGAAGTTTCTTTCCCTCTCTCCTTCCCTTCTGCTCTCTAAAAATAAATAAATAAATAATATTGCATTTTAGTAAAAAATTATTTACAATTTGCAGAAGAATATTTGGATGGGATAATAGAAGGTACTTAATAAAGAGTAAAATTTATCATCATTTTTATTAATAAAAGTATGAAATCTAAGTAATTTTTTCAACCAAGGAATCAACTTTAGAGACTATTATTTATACTAATTGCAACCAATTTAAGTTGACAGTGTGCTGATTTTTTAAACAAAGGTTTCTAAAACTAACTTGCTATAAGATAAAGCAAAATAAAAAGCAAGGAAACAACCTCTCCCCACATTCACTGAGTATGTTCTATGTGTAAAGCACATTATAACATAGTCAATACCCCCCAAAGAGTATACGTGCCTTATGTATTGTAAATTCTAAAGCTTTAGATTTATCTGCTGCTAACTTGGAATTTCTTGAGAATTGTTTGAGTGCTAAATATATAAAACTTTATATGATATATTCTGTTTTTGTGAAGGGATGAATTTTATTTGGCTCTGGATTTAATTATTTAATAAATCATGTTCTGAACTCAGAAACTTGAATTAGTCTTAAAAGTTGCCAATGTTGTGTTGGGCTGAAAATAGATGTTGGGCATCTACCACTGTCATTCTCTATATTTTCTAATCTTGTTTTTCAGACTGATTGTGCAATTTAGGATTAAGTAAATTAAATGTTTTTAAAACATTCTGCCCTTAAATGTATATATACCTTGATTTACTAAGATTTCACAGTGAAATTTAGCTTTTTAAATTTAAATTTTTTTTAAGTTTTCAAAAACACTTAAGTTTGAAAAAGAAATTTTGGGCATAAAGAATAGAATAAAATATGTAACAATTAGGACAGAAAGTGAGGGAAAAGGAAAGATTTAGAATCTTTTGAGCAATACATGAAATATTTAAATTTAAAACAGGTAAAAAGATATGGTGTGGGAATTAATAAAATTTGTTTAACTTGTCTGCTATACAATCCTGTAAGTCTCCAAAATGCTGTGGATATCAATCATTCCATCTCTTAAAGACTTCAGAGATACAGGACAGGAAAGGATCACAATATTCCCTTCATCATGGGATTTCAGGGTAACAAAGGCAGGATCTGAGTTAAGTGCCTCCTGCTCTTGAAGGGACATGCACCTGACCATGAAACAAATTCTCTGGTCAGAATTTTATTTTATTCTTATCTTTCTAATTTAATAAACACATCTGAGAGGGTAGAAAGACAAATTTCAGTAGACCAATTAATATCTGATTATATTTCATACTAGATAATACTATCTTAAGACTACTAAGATTGTTACTATTTTTTTTTCTCCAAACCCCACCAGCATTAGGCTTTATGTTCTTTAAATGAGCATTTCATTTTCTTAAATGAGGAAATGATTAGACCCTCAGGTCTCTAAACAGGAGGTAAATGACAACACTTATGATGACAGAAATTTTAGAGCTGGATCTTTACAGAGACCAGCACAACAAGCTCACAACCAAACACATCAAAACCAGCCCTTACTGGACAGCACAGTTGTTCAGAGCGTTGTCGATACCCTAAAGCTGTGGGTTCAATCTCAGGTCAGAACACATACAAGTCTCAATGAGTGCATAAATAAGTGGGATAACAAATTGATGGCTCTCTCAAATCCTTTTCATTATTAAATAGACCAAAACCAAACATGCATGTCAGTCCTTGTGCTGAGACCCCAGGCAACTCAGCAGCAGCAGCAGCATCTAATTGCATCTAATTTCGGGGCAGGTGTCTGCAGAGTGAAGTAAACTGTGAGCAGAGATGAGGTTTGGGGCAAGCCTAAAACAGTTGGGCAAAGGGGTAGGATATATCAGATATTCTCAGGAAGCATCATTCCTTAGTATATACAAAATATATTTGTGGTTCTGGCTGGTGTGGCTTAGTGGATTGACCAGCCTGCAAACCGAAAGGTCACCAGTTTGATTCCCAGTCAGGGCACATGCCTGGGTTGCTGGTCAGGTTCCCATTTCAGCACATGAGAGAGGCAACCAGTAACCAATCAATGTTTCTTCTTTCCCCTCTCTAAAAGATAAATAAAATCTTTTAAAAATATAATTTTGTTTCAATTCCAGAACATATAACAGAGAAATTTATGTTTGTCTTTTTTACTGAATTTCAGTAATATAAGTAAATGGATCCGATACCCATCTCAAAATGTAGACACTTTCCAAATGATATTTGCAGTCAAGTCAGCAGGTGTCAAATGAAAAAAAAGAAGAAGAAAGTGGGTGCCAGGGCAGCACCTGTATAGGTGTGGACAGGGCCATCTGAACCTGAGATAATGGTTTGGGACACCATGATGTCATCTTGGTGTAAAATGATTATCATATCACCTGTAATTTCAGTGAAAATACTTGCATGGGGAGTTGAGATGATGTTTGAAAAACATTTGCAGATTGTATGAATTACTGAAAGCAATTAATGTTAATTAAAAAGTTTTGTATTGACAACTGCTGAAATGGCTAGGGAACAACTTACCTGTAAAACATTTTTTTAAAAATCTCAGGGAACACAGAGAAGGCCTGAAAACACTGGGATGTAATAAGTGAGAATGAGACAGCTCCTTGTTATCCAGGTTTATTAATTATTTTGAAAGTTTGTCTCAAAATATTGTTCCTTTTGAGTACTGGAGTAGAAGGTATAGCAGAACATGAGATAGAAAAAGAGATAGAAAGAGATAAATAGGAAGGGTAGTTGGGTGGTTCAAATGAACAAATATCTGCGATGTCATTCAGTAAGTCTTACCCCAAAGAGTTATTGAGGTTCTTACATCTTTGGGCACTTTGGTAGCTATACTGCACCATTATTGTATAAGACACGTAATCTAGCTTCTAATGGAGAGATAGCATTACATAAAACCAAGTTATTAAATTTAGTTAATTAATATAAAGTTTTATGGAAAATGGAGAAAAGTAAGCACAGATGATGAAACATTCAGTGGTCAAGGATCAGTGGCAGCATAAAATATCTTAAAGATGTGAGGGGACAGGTCAGATTCTTCCTTTGAAATCTATAAACGTTCCTTCTTTTCCTTGCACTGTTGTAATGAGAGGACTACAATTTGGGTAAAAAAATGAAGCGCTCCAAATAGACAGCTAACCTCCAATGGACCCACTTTCCTTCCCTTCCCGGTTCTAGCAGAAAATAGAAAGTGCTGCGATCAAGATTCAGCCACTCACTTTGCATTGGAGACAACCCATCTTATCTTCTTAAGGACAGGATGCCTGAAACTCATTACCTTCTTACAGTGCTATCTTCCCTCCTCCATCTTATTCCCAACAACATCCACACGTGGTGGTGTGGCCACAGTAAACAATTTCTAGCCTGCACTCAGCTGATACTATTGTCCTACTATTGTCCTACTATTGCCCTAGTGTAGCTCAGCAGATTGAATGCCGCCTTGCAAACCAAAGTACTCCATGGTTCAATTCCCAGTCAGAACACATTCTTGGGTTGTGGGCCACGTCTCCAGTAGTGCGCAAGCGAGGGGCAACCACATGTTGATGTTTCCCTCTCTTTCTCCCTCCCCCCTCTAAAAATAAATAAATAAAATATTTTTAAAAACATTTATTTACTTATTTTAGAGAGATGGGGAGAAACATCATCGTGGTGTTCCACTAATTTATGCATTCATTGGTTGACTCTCCACTGTTCCCCTACGTGTGAATGGTGGCATATGGGCGAGGGCGCTCTACCCAACTATATCACCGGCCGGGCTGCTGCCATTCAATTTCTTTAATCCTCCAAGTGCGCGATTGGAACACTAACACCCTGAACAGTGGAGGAAACTACATTACCCAGGGCGCAATGCGCCCAACAATGGCGGAGTTGAGCTAGTGAAAACCCCAAACCTGCATTGCCACGCGGATCCTGGGGTCCGTGCGTGACACACGCGTCTGCCTCTAGGTGGTTGCTTTGGCCTCTCGGCTGGGCTCACGGAGTGAGAGCCTTCAAAGTCCAGGTCGCCACGGAAGAGGCGCCAGAGGAGTGGTCCCCGCTGTGCAGAGGTGCCTCCGAAGCTTGACCGCATCGGGCTGGATCGGGGCCTCAGAGCCTCGCAGCCTCCACTCAGCCCACAGGGCCTGCTGGAGGCCGGCCGCCCCGAGGCTCCCAGCTGAGGTGAGTGCTCGGCCCCCGGGCCCTCCCCCCCCCAGCCCGCCGAGCCCTGCAGCCCAGGCCCCGGTGTCCGGGACAGTGAAGCGCTCGCGGGGGCACACAGGGTGTGACGGGGTGGAGAGAGTGGAGGGACTGAGGGGCCACCGTGTCCAGTGACGCTCAGGGTCCGGTCTGATAATCCGTGCTCTGTTTTGTGTCTAAAGGTGACAGAGAAGCTGAGGCAAAGTACTGCGTAAGGAGTTTTACTTTCATTCTCCAGAAGTGAAGGCTCTGGAGGGTTGTGAATAAAAGAGGGATCAGGGCCCCTGGGTAGTACCTGATCCTGTTTGAATTTACCATGTATTCTGTGGACCACATACGCTGACTACTGAGTAGAGAGGAATTGAGGTCAGGTTGTAATGTTTTCCAAACACTGCTGAGAGGAAGGAGAGACCAGAAGAGGTGATAGAGGAGACAGGATGGTGAATCCTGTAAAAGGTGACGTGACTGGCAGACTTTGCACTGAGGACGGAGCCCCCGAGGTAGTACAGTCAAAGCTGGCCCTGGGCCAGACAAGAGCGCTTAGTGGCCCTAGCCCGTGCGTCCTGGCAGTGGTGGCCAGGCTCTCAGCAGACCATTCTCTTTCCACAGATTCCTGCCACTCCAGAATCACTTAGGGTTCTGGTTTGTGGAGCTTATTCCATGACTTCCCACTCTTGAGGTCATGAAAGAGAGGTGTCCTGGACAGTGTGCCACTCTTCCAGCCCTTGGGCCTGGGAACCTTGAACAGACGCCAAGCCCACGGGTCTAGGTCCAGGTATAGAGTTATGTGAAGTGGTTCCTATGTTTGACAACCAATGGAATGAGATGTTGGAGGTCCTCCCAGGCATAGGTACCAGAACGTGCAAAGGCTTGTAGCTGAGGCCGAACTGGTTCAGGGATCTGCATGTATCCCTTCTTATAGGATCTGGGACCAGTGGGAAAGGAGTTAGGTCTAGAGCAGCTCTGTGACAAGTTGGCTGTCTGTTCTGCAGGTGATGGGAGGAATGGAAGATGTGGAGCAGTAGAGGCAGGTGATCTGACCCATGTCTCAGCAGATTTGCCGTGGCTGCAGCGTGGAGAACAGTGCATGTGAGGGAGGTGGTAGAAGGACCTGGGAGGAGGCTGGTTGTATAATTTGGGTTAGTGTGAGGACCAAAATGGGGTAATGTAGGTGGGAGAAGCATTTGGATGGATGTTTAGGTGTGGCCACCTGGACTTTGTAATTTTGAGTTTCAGAGAAAGAAAGGTAGGAGTAGGGGGTGACTTCAACATTTGGTGTTTAGCAGCTGGAGGTTTAGAAGCAGCATCAACTGAGATGGTGAAATCCACAATAGGAAAAGTAGCTTTCATTGGTGACAACAGGAGGTTTATTTTTGGCCTGTTAATGGTATGAGTTGTTTCAGAGAGTAGTTCAAGGGCATCTGCAACGCCAAGGAGGAGTTTAGGATGGAGACGTCTCCAAAAGGTAGAGGAGAATGTATGGACCAGGGAGGAGTTGTAGGTCAGTGTGAAATATGGAATCGTGGTCAGGATGATAATGGTAGTAATAACCCCAAAAGACCTGGTCTTGGGTTTCCTGCTGGGGCTTCTAGTTTTGGGAGGGGAGTTCATAGCACAGTTTAGAGACAGAAGTGGTCGTGTAGGGGTTGGGGGTAAGATATGGTATGGCACGTGGCCAGGGACATTAAGGGATATGTGGACTTAAATGGAACAAAGCCCTGAAGAGTAATTCACACAAGAGGAGACTGGAGCTGGTGCATATTCACTGCTCTAAAGACTCACCAGAAGTTTCTTGTGAGCCTTGGTGAGACCTGGGGTGTCCCAGTCAGGCTGGCAGGTTAGTGTAGGGGCATAAGTGATCATCTGTGAGACTCTGGGCATGGGATGGAGGGTCACTGGAGCTGGGCCTTCACTGAGTGGGAGGTGGACAGGGGAAGGCTGGACTGGTGGACAGACATCAGGAGCAGCACCAATGGGGGAGGGCTGTGCATATCTGAGGTCTGATGTGGTTCTCAGTGGGTGAGGTTGAAGCAAGGAACAGTCAGGGAGAGAGGCCTTCACAGCAGGACTCCAGGCAGCCCCTGTCAGTGGGGCCCATCAGAGTCTGGGTAGTACCTAATCCTGTTTGAATTTACCATGTATTCTCTGGACCACATATGCTGACTACTGAGTAGAGAGGTCAAGGTGGTGACTGAGGTACAGGGCAGGAGGAGACTGGGGCTGTGGTGTACAGGTGTGAGAGAGAGGTGTGGTAGGAAGATTAAAGTACACTTGGAGGGGGAGTGTGAATTTATGGCTCCAGGTCCCTGGCTTTGATCTAAGAGTGAGTTAAGGATCAGCCCATGTCAGGCAGTGTCTGGAAGAAACAATGTGGGGAACATCAGGAGAATTGCCTGAAAAGAGAGGTTGTAATTCTACATGGCAGTTCCAAAGATGAGAATCCATTTATCTGCCTACGTGTCTATTTTTGTTGAGGGCTGATTCAATGACCAATAGGACTTAGATGAAATAGCAGAAGTCAGTGCCACCCAGGATTAAAAACCTCCACTGCCCTGGGGAAGGGAGAAGGGTAAGCAAAGGATAGATTATAGGGGTGGGGAAATTAGAATCCTGGGAAAGAAGCTGATCTGGGAACAAACAGTCCCTGTCATGGCAGAGCTGTGCTACCTTTGAAGTTGTGTTTTTGGGAATGTAGCTGTGTGAGAGAAGTGTGGTTCAAAGAATTATGTACACAGGTTTACATAAACTGATGGCCTCAGTGCCCTGGGATTGGGATCATAATGGTAAAGGGTGATGCCATCTTTTTTTCTCTTGTGCAATCTGGAGGACCAACGGGGTATTGCCTGACGAGACCAGTGTCAAATCACTCACACCATCTATATGACCAACTTCAATCCCTAACCATTGTATGTGACACCCACTGCATTGATAAGAGGCAGTGTGACCCACATGCCAGGCCCATAACTGCCCATCAGCCTATTGTTGTGGGAAGACACACTATCAATAGGAATATAGGAAGAGTGACACCGATGGCACCAATGCCTGGTATCTTCTCTGATGTGGGGACACGAGTGAGCAGATGGATGTGGAAAGTGGGGTGTAGGACAAACTTGGAATCCTAGGAGAGAAGCTGGTCATGGAATGAACTGTCCCCATTCTGACAGGATATGAACTTTGTGGACGTGGCCATTGCCTTCTCCCAGGAGGAGTGGGGGCTCCTTGATGAGGCTCAGAGACTTCTGTACTGCGATGTGATGTGGGAAATCTTCAACCTTGTAACATCTGTTGGTAAGACCTTCATATCTCTCCTCATTTCCTGAGGTGATGTCCTGCCTTCCCTGTTTTCTCCAGAGGTAGCGTTGTCTTTCCCACAGCCAGACCATGAACTCTGCTAATTTCCACCTCTCTGTTGTCAACTGTGCTGTGGCTGCCAGTGCTGAGCTGTGTGGAATGTCCTGAGCCATGAAGTGCTGGACTAGCCCTAACACCTGTTTTCTCAAAAATTGCATGGAAACCCTGACAGTGTGGCTTAGTGGGTTGAGCATTGTCCTGAAAAACAAAAGATCACTGGTTTCATTCCAGATCAGGGCACATACCTGGGTTGCAAGGCAGGTCCCTGGGTGGAGGCATGTGAGAGGCAGCCAATCCATGTTCCTTTCACATATCCATGCTTCTATCTTTGTCTTCCTCCCTTCCTCTTGCTGTAAAATAAATAAATAAACCTTTTTTTTTTAAGTTCAGGGAAGACTCTGGGAGTCTGAAATCTTGCAGACAGCTCAATGGATCCCACCTTGCTTGCCCTCTTCCTGACAGGGTGACTGTGTCCTGACCCATGGCCTCCAGTTCTGCCCCTTCATCTGGCTCATGGCTCTTTGTGACTCCCTGTGCCTGGTCATTGTCATTACTTGAATGGACTGTTGGCTGTTCTTGTAAGATTCTTCTTCAAATGATGTTTGTAATCTGGTCTTTCCTGAATACTACTGTATGCTGAGTTGCTGTGATTCAGTGGTTGCTGCTCACCACTGTTTTCTTTCATGAGTACTCGAATTACTCAAGTTCTTCTTTTGAGGTTTTTAAAAATACATTTTATTGATTATGCTATTACAGTTGTCCTCTCCCTCCCCCTTCACTCCCCTCCACCCTGCACACCTCCTCCCACCCACATTCCCCTCCTTTACTTCATGTCCATGTATCATACATGTAAGTTCTTTGGCTTCTACAATTCCCATACTATTCTTGCTCTCCCCCGTCTGTTTTCTACCTACCATCTATGCTACTTATTCTCTGTACCTTTTCCCCTTCTCTCCCACTCCCACTCCCCTCTTGATAACCCTCCATGTGATGTCCATTTCTGTGGTTCTGTTCCTGTTCTAGTTGTTTGCTTAGTTTGTTTTTGGTTTTGTTTTAGGTGTGGTTGTTAATAATTGTGAGTTTGCTGTCATTTTACTATACCTGTTTTTTATTTTCTTTTTCTTAGATAAGTTCTTTTAACATTTCATACAATAAGGGCTTGGTGCCCTGGCTGGCATAGCTCAGTGGATTGAGTGTGGGCTGCGAACAAAGGGATGCAGGTTCGATTCCCAGTCAGGGCGCATGCCTGGGTTGCGGGCCAGGTCCCCAGTGGGGGCCATGTGAGAGGCAACCACACACTGATGCTTCTGTCTCTCTTTCTCCCTCCCTTCCCATCTCTGAAAATAAATAAGTAAAATCTTTAAAAAAAAAAATAAGGGCTTGGTGATGATGAACTCCTTGAACTTAACCTTATTTGGGTAGCACTTTACCTGCTGTTCCATTCTAAATGAAAGTTTTGCTGGATAGAGCAATCTTGGATGTAAGTCCTTGCCTTTCATGACTTTGAATACTTCTTTCCAGCCCCTTCTTGCCTGTAAGGTCTCTTTTGAGAAATCAGCTGACAGTCTGATGGGAACTCCTTTGTAGGTTACTATCTCCTTATCTCTTGCTGCTTCTAGGATTCTCTCCTTCATTTTTACCTTGGCTAATGTAAGTGTGATGTGCCTTGATGTGTTCATCCTTGGGTCCAACTTCTTTGGGACTCTCTGAGTTTCCTGAACTTTCTGGAAGTTTATTTCCTTTGCCAGACTGGGGACATTCTCTTTTATTATTTGTTCAAATAAGTTTTCAGTTTGTTGCTCTTCCTCTTCTCCTTCTGGCACCCCTATAATTCGAATGTTGGAACATTTAAAGATGTCCTGGAGGTTCCTAAGCCTCTCATTTTTTTTTTTTTTGAATTCTTGTTTCTTCATTCTTTTCTGGTTGAATATTCCTTTCTTCCTTCTGGCTCACTCCATTGATTTGAGTCCCAGTTTCCTTCCCCTCACTATTGGTTACTATGCATTTTCCTTTATTTCACTTAGCGTAGCCTTCATTTTTTCATCTAATTTGCAATCAAATTCAACCAATTCTGTGAGCATCCTGATTACCAGTGTTTTGAACTGTGCAATCTGATAGGTTGGCTATCTCTTCATTGCTTAGTTGTATTTTTTCTGGAGCTTTGATCTGTTCTTTCATTTGGGCCATTTTTTTTGTCTTGTTGCACCTGTTACATAGTGAGGGGTGGAGCCTTAGGTGTTCACCTGGGCAGGGCAACCCACATAGCTGGGTTGTAAGGCTGTATGAGGGGTAGGGGTCTGAGAGGGAACAATGGTGCTTGCTCCGCTCTCTGCCGGATTTCAGTCACTTCCCCCACTTCCCGCAGGGAAAGTGGGCCCTTCTGGTGCTGATTCCTGGGTGGGTTGGCTTTTCCAGGACCCTGTGGGTCTCTCCAATGAACTCTCCTGTGAGGCTGGGAGTTTCTCCTGGCTCCTGAACCCACACAGGTGTTTTCAGTTAGTGGTTTGAGGCTTTATTTCCCTACACTGGTACCCTGGGTTGTACGGTTTGTCCCGCTCTCCAGTTTTGCCTGGTTTATCAGCGTGCAAATGTGGGACTGCCTGGTCTGCCAGCCTCCTTGCATGCAGTGCCCCATTCCACAATCCCCCACCTCACTGGGTCTGCCAGCTGTTGCCTTGCCGTGAGCCCTCTCCACCCCGGATGCCCATCTCCACCCCTCCTATTGGTCTGGATGAAAGTGTCTTCTTTAACTCCTTGGTTGTCAGACTTCCGTACAATTCAATTTTCTGTCAGTTCTGGTTGTTTTTGTTTTTAAATTGTTCTTCTTTTGGTTGTGCAAGGAGGCACAGTGTGTCTACCTACGCCTCCATCTTGGCTAGAAGTGAATTACTCAAGTTCTGAGTAGTTTTTACAATAAGATGCGGAGAGAGCCGTGTTTTCTCACAGGGTGGGCATTCAAAATGGTCTCAGAAGAGACCTTGCCCTGGTAAACGTCAACTATGGAGAGGGCATGAGAAAAGAACTGTGTTCAGATCATTCCAGAAACCTGCCTTGTGTCTAGTAGTGTTTTAGTACAAGTGTCACTGGCCACAACTTATTTTTTTCTTTTCTTTCTCATCGTAACACTTTGCTGTCTTGTCATTTTATCTGTGATTTTCTAGCACCGGGCTACCTTAACATCTGTGGCCTCTGTGCATCACCTATTCTTCTGCACAGCTCCCTCTGCAGTATTCTCCATCATTGACCTGAGCATGTGTTATTAGGTTGCATACATCCTTATGTAGTCCTTGAACACTAACTACACATTTATTGAATTTTACTGGGTAAAGGACATAACCAGCCTTTTGCATAACTTGCCTGTGTCACCAGCAAAATACCCTAATCAATGCTGTTAACAGAAGAATGAGTTGCAGATCCAGTTTCACTTCCATGTGGTCCTTGCATCTCTGTGTTCTTTTTCCAGTGAGGTGTCCCCTATTTTGCGATCTTCAGAGGTCCAGTACTACACAGCAGGACCTTATTCAACCTGCCTCTAAGTCCCTTTCTTTCAGACATTCAATGGAACCAATGTATTATGTGTGATACACCTTTGTAATAGGACTTCATTTTCCCATGAAAGCCCACATCTGTTTTCTAAGCATTTGTCTGCTTTCAGGTTGTTTGCATAAAATGGAAGGCGATGAGACCCCTTCTGAGCAGAGTGTATCTATAGATGGAGAATCACAGGTCAGTTCTTCTAAGACAGCGCCTGCAACTCAGAAGACCCATCCCTGTGAGCAGTGTGTCTCAGTCTTGAAAGCTATTTTGCACCTGACTGAGTTTCATGCAGCATACCTTGAGCAGAAAGCATTCTTCAGTGATGCGTGTGTGAGAGGCTTCTGTTTCAATGCCAAGCTTCAGCAGCAACAGAAACCTGCCAGTGGAGAGAAGCTCCTGAAAGGAGATATGGACAGGGCCTCGTTTGTGACAAGGTGCAGGTACTACGTGCCAAGGGCACTTTTCACCCATGGGGATATTGGGGAAGACCTCCAAGCCATCTCTGGCCTTCTCCAGCACCAAATCACTCCTAACAGTGGAGAGCCACCCAGTGGTGGGCAGGGCTTTCACAGCAGAAAAAGTCATCCCCAGTTGGGCGAATGTAAAAAAGCTGCCAGCCGCAACCACAAACTTGTTCAATGTCAGGGTGTCTGCTCTGGAGAAAGTCTTTATGAGTGTAGCAACTGTGGGAAAGCATTTGGACAAATCTTTAACCTCATTCAACATAGAAGAGTTCACACTGGAGAAAAGCCATATGAGTGCAGTGTTTGTGGAAAATGCTTTAACCGCAACTTTTTCCTTCTTCGACATCAGAGTGTTCACACTGGAGAAAAGCCATATGAGTGCAGTGATTGTGGGAAGTCTTTCAGCCAAAGGTCTAACCTCATTCAACATCAGAGAGTGCATACTGGAGAAAGGCCGTATGAGTGTACTAATTGTGGAAAGTTCTTCAGCCAAAGCTCTACCCTCATTCAACACCAGAAAATTCATACTGGAGAAAAGCCGTATGAGTGCAGTGATTGTGGGAAATCTTTTAGACTACGCTCTCACCTTATTCAACACCGTCGAGTTCATTCTGGTGAAAGGCCTTATGACTGTGGTGAATGTGGGAAATCTTTTAGCGATACCTCTAGCCTCAGTAGACACCAGAGAATTCATACTGGCGAAAAGCCACATGAGTGTAGTGCTTGTGGGAAGTTCTTCACCCAAAGATCTGCCCTCATTCAGCACCAGATAATTCATACTGGAGAAAAGCCTTATGAATGTAATGAATGTGGAAAATCCTTTAGAAAACGCTGTGAGCTTATTCAACACCGTCCAGTTCATTCTGGTGAAAAGCCTTATGAGTGTGGTGAATGTGGGAAGTTTTTTAGCATTTACTCCAGCCTCTTTAGACACCAGAGAATTCACACTGGAGAAAAGCCATATGAGTGTAGTGAATGTGGGAAATCCTTTGCACAACGCTCTTATCTTATTCAACACTGTCGAGTACATTCTGGAGAAAAGCCTTATGAGTGTGGTAAATGTGGGAAATACTTTAGCTATACCTCTAACCTCATTCAACATCAGAGAGTTCACAGTGGAGAAAATCTTTAAATGTGCTGGAAATTTTTTTTTTCACTTACTGTAAGAACACTGGAGGAGATGTTTTGAGAGCCACTTACCTAAATTGCAATGTTTTAGTGAAACATTCATACACTGTTCTAGATTGCTCTTAGTTTTCAGGTACAAGCAAGGCTCAAAGCAGCTTTGTGGCACTTTGTAACCTGCCCAGGGCTATTACCAGATGACGTCATTGCCAGTTTTTGTGGCTGAAGCCATTTCATCTCTACCACCTGGCTCACCTACATATGTTTGTCAGTCACAACCCCAGTGTTCTCAGAGATGACCTCTGTTCTCCCTTTTGCTTGAGAAAATAGTGAATACTCTGATCCTGTGGTGAGATCCTTATTTTTTCCTGTTTGAGTAGGGAATGGCCCTGACCCCAATGTGGGTCCAACAGACCCATTTTTGGCTAACAAGGACTACTTCTTCCAGGGTCATTGTTGTTCTCATGTTATACTGTGATGAATCTTTTAGGTTCTAATTCATGAATATGGAACCTGCTCACTGTACACTGCTCTGTTTATGATCTTTTTATAAAGGTCTTTTTACTTTAGTACCTTTAATGTTTGTGGTTCAGTTCACTACGTAAGATTGTTTGAAAGCAGAATTGTGATCTGTCAACATGTGGAGGTGAACAGATTTTGTGGGGATCCCAGACTCACTATGCTTCAGCATAACAGCATTATGGCAAAAAATTGCTGTTCAATATTGATTTATTTTGTATTGCTTCCCAAGGCATTGAAAGAAAGACTGCATGACTTTGTCCTAATTTGCATCCTGATGCCCAGGTTATTGGAGAGGTCAAAGGTCACTCAGAAGAGGCTTTTGTGCCTCTGTGAACAATATGAGTTACATTTCTTTGCTCACCATATATATTATGTAATTTTCAGCAATGATGTGGAGACCTCCTCCCCAGGTCCTACAAATGAGCCATGTGTCAATTATGTATGAAATTTCATACATGGGTTGGTGTCATTTGCTGTAAGACTCTGAGTGTTAGGTGGAAACACAACTGAGACAGAAAGACTGTATTAATAGTGAGTAGGAGAGACTGCAGTAAATTAGATAGAAGTTGCCTCTTCTGAAAATTCATCCACAGATGTTCCAGGGACTGGTTTATGTGATCTCTTTATACAGGCATTCTGAGAACCTCCATAACTGTTTCCCCTAGCTTAGGTCATTGGCAGAGAAGATAATCTAATGGTCTGTGGTCTTCCCCTATCCTCTCTAGGGTGCTTGCTTCAAGGCCGTTGCTGTACAGGCAAGAAAACAAAGCTAGAGAGAAGGACAATCCTGTACTCAGTCCTAAGATGTGTGCCTTGTGACCCAGTCATCATTCCTGATGATTGGATGGCAACAGTCATCACTGTTTGCCAGTATTTGCTGCCACTGAGGCAAGGCTGCCACTCCTTGGACATGAGGAGAGAGGTGGTAGAGTTCACATAGTGTTGCCAATCTAATTTTCTAAGAAAAGGGGGATATCTGGGTCATTAATAGGAACCACTTTTTAAAGCTTTATGCAGGTATATGTATAATTGACATGCAACAAAGTGCACTTATCTGATGTGGACTGTTTGGTGAGCTTTGCCATACTCATAAAGCTGTGAAACTGTCACACTTGACAAGGAACTTATCTGTCACCCATAAAAGTAGTTGTACAGTTTTGAGTACACAAAACAGAGTTTATTCTTTTTTTTCCTCACCTACCCATTATACTTGCTACTTTACTTTCCTCTGAAAAACATACAGTGTTATTTGGAGAAATACAGAATTAGTTGTCGGGAGTTGCTTTTGGAGAATGATCCACAAGTGCCTTATCTGTAGTCAGATATTGATACAGGGATCACCTCTGGCACATTAATCTTCATACTTCCAGCTCTGTTAACTGTGATTCAGCTTTTTATTTTTGCTTCATTTTGAAGGATAGTCATTGCTTTTTTGTAATTCCTTTGAGGATTGAAAAGTGGCCTTAACAAGTTTGTGATAGAGACTGGGTATAGTACTTCAGTTCCTTGTGATATTTTGCCTCCTGGCATGCCCCTTTGGGGTATCCCTTCAACCTGAAGGTGCCCTGTAAATCCTCTCCTTCCCAGATGATGGACCCTGTATTAGTCTGCTCGGGCTGCCATAACAAAGTGCTTCACACTGGGCAGCTTAAACAACAGAGACCTATTTTCATATACTTGGAGGCTAGAAGTCAGGCCAAGATGTCAGCAGAGTTGGATTCTCCTGAGGCCTCTCTCCTTGGCTTGCAGATGGCCATCTTCTCTGTCCTCATATGGCCTTTTGTGTGTGTGTGTGTGTCGGACCTAACCTCTTCTTGTAAGGACACCAGCCTACCCTATTGATTATTACCTTCAAAAGACCCTGTTTTCAAGTACATTCTGAGGCAGTGGGGTTAGGACTTCAGTATATGGATTTATGCCATGCAGTGCAGCCCATAACAGTCCCCAGGCATCTTTTCATTAAGGAGCTCTCTGGAGGATTATCTCATTTAACACCCCTGAAATTATCTAGCAAGGGAATTATTTATGTCTACTTCTCAAAGGAGAGATCTGCAGCTCAGAGAGGGTACTCAGCTGCAAGTGTGAGCTGGGAAAGATTTATTGGACAAGCTGTGGGTCAGCTCACTTTGTTCCCTTGCATCCTGTCCCTGAGGGAAACAGCAGACTCCAGCCAGAAGCCCAGATTCCTTTCCTGTGATGTGGGACCATGTAGAAACAACACCCTAAAATCACCCAAGGCCCCAGGGCCCCTCCCACACACCTGCTGCACCTTCCCTGCAAACTCCTGCCCTCTTGTCCTCATGGAAGGCTTCACCAAAAAAATAGTAAACAACCAATACAAAATAAAGACAAGAGGTTTAATTCTCTGCTGAAAATGGAAAGGAGATTTTCTTCCCTTTCCTTGTCTTAGAGCATTTGCCTTCTTCGAAACCTGTAAGTACTTTTCCATCTCTAAAGTGTTCACCATTGCGCTGGCATCCCACACAGGGTCATCAGTGTCACTCCAAACAACACTGGCCCTCACCATTACATAGAGTGATTTGTGTTTAGATCCTGTTGGTCTTCTAATATCACTGCAGGGTGCCCCCTCCCATCAGTGCCTCAGAACTAAGTGTCGCCCAGTAATTACTGTCACTTTGGTGGACATTGAAGACATGCTGAAAGACTGAAGAAAGCTCAGTCTCTTTTTTCCACCCACCCCACAACAGGTGATCTTAGCCCTCCCTGACTGTTCCTCCCCAGCCTTCTAGCTAAAATGCAAATCAATGACTGACAAAGTGAATCCCTAAGAACCTTCCCTTTCCCCCCTAGAAAACTAGACCAACCACTCCCTAACCTGGGTAGTAGAGCAGGATGGTCGCATTCTACAACCTGCACCTCTCACACAGGACATGACAGCATCTCACACCTGTCACACTGTCCCCATGGTGTATGTGAAGTGACCAGGCTGTGCTGAGTATCAGTATCAGAACTTTCGCACAGGGTCCCCATCCAATCTGATACCTGACATGTCTGTTTCCAGGCTGTGCTGCTGTATACTTGCAAAACAGTCACGAGGTTTGTGTTTCCAGACGTGTCGCATAGAAATGACTTATACTTGGGGAAAAAATAGTAAACAACCAATACAAAATAAAGACAAAAGGTTTAATTCTCTGCTGAAAATGGAAAGGTGGTTTTCTTCCCTTTCCTTGTCTTAGAGCATTTGCCTTCTTTGAAACCTGTAAGTACTTTTCCATCTCTAAAGTGTGCGCCTTTGAAGGCCAGCTGAGCCTTTTGTTCAGGCTCCCAGTCCCTGTGAAGGAAGGAGGCTAAGCTCGGGGGCACTTTGTCTGTTTGTAAAGCTACCTCCTGTTTATGTGTTCTATCTCTCTCGATACAGTGTTTTTCACTTGTTTTTATCTTAAAAGCTTATAGTATGCATATCAGCTTGGTTACATAGAGCAGTGGTCCCCAAGCTTTTTGGCACCAGAGACCAGTTTCATGAAAGACAGGGTGGAGGGTTGGGGGTTACCCGGAGGTGAGAGGGAGCTCAGGTGAGCTTTGCCCGCTTTGGATGAGAGGAGGTGGGAGGGAGACAGGAGGCAGATTTCAGGCCAGCTTTAATCCGGTGGTTCCTAACAGGTCGCAGACCGGCAGCAGCCCATGGCCCCTGATATAGGGGAATGAGAGTTGTTGTTGTTTTTTTTAATTTTTTCTATTTTTGTACTTTCTTAGCAGAGTACCTGCAATGGACATCTCATTCTGGCTTAATGCTTATTTAATAGTAAAGTGTTTCCTGTCTGTACTGTGAGAGAATGTCTGGGCTGGGAAAATATTTTATTTTCCCAACAGTTATCATCACACACCTGCCTGTAGAAACCAAACGTCCCACTCATCTCATCAGTATTTAGTGTACAGGAAACATGTGCAAGGATGATCACTTAAACAATACCAGACAATAAACCTTGTCTAAGAAGTGGCTAATTGTAATGTGCAAATGTGTCAGCAATTTCAGCAAATAATTAGAATGGTATTTGGAATGATAGGATAAGAAACTTTTGAGACAGCTACTCAACCTCTCATGTACTCACTGGATCCTGATAGCAATAAGTCTGGCTTAAGAAACTAACTCATTTCTTTTTTTTTAAGATTTTATTTATTTATTTTTAGAGAGGGAAGGGAGGGAGGGAGAGAGAGAGAGAGAGAGAGAGAGAGAGAGAGAGAGAGAGAGAGAGAGAAACATCAATGTGAGGTTGCTGGGGGTCACGGCCTGCAACCCAGGAATGTACCCTGATTGGGAATCGAACCTGTGACACTTTGGTTCTCAGCCTGCACTCAATCCACTGAGCTATGCCAGCCAGGGTGAAACTAACTTATTTCTAAGACAGTTGAGGAAATTAGCCATCAGTAATAAAATATTTTATTTTGTGTGAAAGTTACTGGCATTGTGAAATAGCCTTTACATTTGAAAAAAATGGGTTTTGAGGAGGTTATACATTTGTTGGTAATACATATACATGTCTGCAAACATGTATATTTTCATAGTACTACTGTATTTAGAACACATTTTATAACTTCCAGATGATATTTTTCATTTATTGTCTCCCCCCTCTAAGTTGTTAAGTTTTAGAAGGGCAGGGAGCCCTGACCTGTGAGGCTTAGTTGGTTGAGTATCATCCCGCACAATGAAAGATCACCAGTCCCACTCCTGGTCAGGGCACATGGCTGGGTTGCAGGTTTGGTCGTAGGTCAGGATGCATATGAGAGGCAACGGATTGATGTTTCTGTCTCACATTAATGTTTCTTTTCCTCTTTCCCTTCCTTCCCCTCTCTCCAAAAATAAATAAAAACTTAAAAAAGAAAAACAGGGAGGGTAAGGAATTTTTATTTTGTTCACCAAAGCATCTCAGGTGCCTAAACATCTCAAGTGGCTGAAACATTTTAAATCACCAATAAATACCTGTTGAATAAATGAAAGTGTGATGCTTGTATTGTTTACTTTTTAAAATCCAGGGATGTGTCCTATGTGAGAAGACAATGAACTCCAATGCCAGGACACAAACTCTTTCTGCTACCCAGTTCTGTGTCCCACACCCTTTATTTTAGTGCAGCCACAGGCACCAAAATCCATGGGGAGGGGAGGTGGGAACCTGGGGACAGGCCTTATTCCATAAAAGGGAACCATTTTATTCAAACGATATAATCATGTCTTAGATCCACTGGAAATACCAATAGCTAAGTGGAATGTAAACATGACTGGTGACTGAAAGTTGCAGAATCCTCTTATATGAACAGATACCATAAAAGTCCAATGTTTTCCACCCATATATTCCAAAGATGGAGAGCATGGGGGTTGAAGGAGCTTATTTGCCCAACCAGTTTGAAAAGATGGTCTGGAAAAAAAAAGAAAAGATTCTATGCAGCACTGAGGCAAAAGCACATGTGCCGGTTATTCGGAATCCATTTGTGAGCTGGTGTCCATCAGGAACTGGGGCTAAGTCCTGAGAAACTGGGAGGTACCCTGTAGAAATAGCTTGAATCATGGAAGGTGGCAATCTATAGGGTAAGTTGTGACATTTCTCTGCTTTCCTCATATGTATAGAAGGAAGGCCTATTGGGCTATGGAGAAGGCTCCAGTGGGTGCAGAAGCTCATTTATCCATCCTTTTTCCTGGACTGTCTCCAAGGGGTGTGCTATAGTGGACATTCTTGCCTATGCTTCCATATGAGGGAGAGCTGCTTTTGTAATGTCCTTTGTGGGGTGGGGGACAAACATTTTTAAGTGGTTTTAGTAATTATTAAACCATCATTGACAAGATCCTTCATGTCCATGTCTTCTGGAGCACTCAACATTGTGATTGGTCCAACCTTAATACCAAGATCCTGGCTAACATTTATTGGATTAAGCTGGTAAGATAAAGGAGTAAAACACACACAAACACACACAATTTCTTTCTCCACCCCCTGCTTAGCCAATATGAATGGGTTTTGCAGATTAAATGCATGGTTGACACTTCTCCCTGATGTACCACCTACATGTTGGACTCTACTTGCCCTAATAAAAGGATAGAAGTCACATATAGACAAAATGTTCATCAGATGTCCATCCAATGCTGCATCTGCATTTGTATCCAGAAATCATAACTGAAACAGGTTTGGCTGCCTGCTGAAACAAAAGCCAAACTTGTGAGACAGGTGCCAGTGCAAAAAGAAAAATTTATTCAGGTGCCATGACCTGGGAGAATGGTGGAATCCTGTCTCAAAGACAATCCCGTCTTCCTGCTGAAACCCACATTTCTTATAGAAATGGGACTCTGACCCTGTCCATTCATCTTTCTAGTTTTAGACATGCTTGGGCCTTCCAGTGCTGGACATGGTGCCTGCACATCCCAGTGAGCTGTCGCCTGAAACCCCCCTTAGAGAGCTGGCATCCCCATGTCTTCTGGGACTTGTAGTCCAGGTCTAGTGTCTAGTCATGTGTTGCCCTCTCAGTAATGTAGTTGGTGGTGCATTCTGCACAGAAGCACTATGGTTCCCATGGAAGTTGCTGTCCAAGGCCTCTGTGTCTGAAGTTTGAGTGTGAATCCCAGATTAGCTGGTTTTTAGCATTTCTGCTCATAAGACTGAAGAGAGAGGGCTCCTGTGCAGGGTAAAACCAAGTAGATCAGTGGATTTATCTTTGCAATGTTGCCTACTGTTTATTCGAAGTGGAGCTGGCTTGCCCCTTACAGAAGTGAATCCATGTTTTTCTAAGATGCTTATATTTGAAAAATAAATCTAGTGAAATATTTTAAGGGTTATGTGCAGGAGAGTTGTGTCTCAGGATGTAAATGCAACCTGCCTCAGGGTTACTCTCTAGCATGTAACCCTGTTTACACTCACCATAACCCTGGTCACCATAGAGATTTTTAAAATTGTATTTTATTGATTATGCTATTACAGTTGTCCTTATTTTCTCTTTTTGCCCCCCTCCACCCAGCATCGCCCACTCCCTCAGGCAACCCCCCACACTTGTTCATGCCCATGGATCATGCATATAAGTTCTTTGGCTACTCTATTTCCTATACTGTACTTTACACTCCCATTGCTATTCTGTAATTACCTATTTGTGCTTCTTTTTTAAAAAAATACTTTATTTATTTTTAAAAAGGGGGAAAGGAAGGAGAAAGAGAGGGAGAGAAACATCAATGTGTGGTTGCCTCTTGTGTGCTCCCTACTGGGGACCTGGCCTGCAATCCAAGCATGTGCCCTGACTGGGAATTGAACCAGTGACCCTTTGATTTGCAGGCTGGCACTCAATCCACTGAGCCACACTAGCCAGGGCTGTACTTGTTAATCCTCTCACCTCTTCACCCATTCCTCCATTCCCCCCTCCCATCTGGCAACCATCAAAATACTTTCCATATCCATGTTTCTGTCTCTGTTCTTCTTTGCTTAGTTTGTTTATTAGATTCAATTATTGATAATTTGTATTTTTTGCCATTTTATTAGTTTTTGCAGCCAGAAGTTTCAGGGACTTGTCTTCCTGGCACTGGAACCCTGGGCTGAGGGAACTAGTGTGGGGCTGAGACTCCTTGCTCCAGAGATATTCCTCCCAAATTTTTATCCATCACGTGTTCATGAGGGACCAGCCAGTTCCATGTCTGTGCCTCTCCTTCCATCTGGATGGATGTAGTTTCTTTAATTCCGTAGTTGTCAGACTACCATTCAACTCGATTTCTGATGGTTCTGAATGATGGTTGTTGTATATTTTAGCTGTAATTCTGATGTGGTTGTGTGAAGAAGCAAGCTATGCCTGTCTATGCTGCCATCTTGACCAGAAGTCCCACCATAGGGATTATACATATTCATTTGACATCCGTGTCATTCCCTCACTTCACAACCAGCTGGAACCAGTGTCCTTTCATCTCAGTTCTTTTGGCGTTGTCCCGGGTAAAGTCATCCCAAAACTCTTTGGTCTCTTCACTATTTGTTGTCCTTGGAAACTTTATTTTGTACTCTTTGGAATCTTTGCATGACTTCCCCTTTACATTGTCTTTTAGTGGGTTCTACATCAGCAAACTAAGTAAATAGAGTCTCAACATTAAAAGATAGATAGTAGAGCCAAGTAGTGTCACTCTGAAAGTCCCCTGTTAAACAGCTGACATAAAATTTAAGGAGCTTCATGATTTTTCCCACATTTAAAAAATATTTTATATTATTTATTTTTATAGAGGGTAAGTTTGTACTCCTATTTATACTTCTTTTTAAAAAAATATTTATTTATTTTTAGAACGAGGGAAAGGAAGGAGAAAGAGTAGGAGAGAAACATCAATGTGTGGTTGCCTCTCATGAACTCTTTACTGGGGACCTGGCCTGCAACCCAGGCATGTGCCCTGACTGGGAATTGAACTGGAGACCCTTTGGTTCACAGGCCAGCACTCAATCCACTGAGCCACACCAGCCAGGGCTTTCCCCACATTTTTTTTTTAGAATGCACAGCATGGAACTCTGACTAGCATGTGAAGCAAGGGAAGTTTTGTGAGACTGAATCAGTTGCTGACTCCAGGTAGTGTCAGAATAGGATTGAATAGTAGAACACCCAGTAGATTCTGGAGTGTTGTCAGAAAGCACCCAAGTAACCACTGGAGGAGTCGCCAGACACAGTGGCCAATTGTTCTATTTACGTTGTGTCCTATAACCTTCTCTTGATTGACCGAAAAGAGCTACTTGGTTAATGGAAGTTCCAAGGTAAATGGATGGCCTCTCTTTGGGAAGGTGGTCACTCTGATTGAAGACAGACAAATCAATCAAATAAATTGGTACAATAGGTGAACTCTATGCTCTTTGCCTCTATCCCTGAGTTTTTACCAACTCATGGGCAGAATTTATGTGTTCATACCCTAAACCCCAATGTGACTGTATGGAGAGAGGGCCTCTAAAGTAAACTTTAAGGTCATAAGGCTGGGCACAGAAATGACAGCATTTCTGTCCTTATAGGAAATTACACCAGAAAACACTCCAGTGGTTTCTTCCTGCACCCCCTTCTGTCTCTGTTTCTGCCATGTATGCATTTAGCCTGACAGAAGCCATAGTAGCCCTATCTATTGTAGTTATATTGTTTGAACTAAAGCAATTTCTTTAAATGGACATTTAAAGATTAAAAGAAAGAATTAAACATGCCCCCTCATGTCTTTAAAATATTTTTTTCAGTATCATCTTCCCTATGAGTCTTACTGTGAATATCCTTTAATGTCACAACACTTCTGTAACCACTAAACTTTTCATCATATGGACATCATATGGACTCTACTTTCTTCCATTTTCTACAGAACATAACACCCTTAGAAAAACAAAAGAATTTGGTAATTTACTTTTATGTGATGCTCTCATTCCTGCTCCTAGAAGGTAGGTTCCATGCTAACATACTGATGGTTCAGTGTAGCTGCTGAAGTGCCCAAAAGACCTAAGAATCTCAATAGCTATCTGGAAGAACACTTACTGAATGACATCATAGATATCTGTTCATTTGAACCAGATATCTCACCTCTTTTTACCTCTTTCTTTTTCTATCTCATATGCTGTTCTACCTTCAATTTCAGTACCTTCAGTGAACTCAGAAATGGAATCATGTTTTGAGAAAAACTTTCAGAGTGATTGATAATTCCAGATAAGGAAGTGCTCAGTTTCATTCTCTCACTCATTAAATCTCATTTTTTTTTCTGGTCTGCTTCATTTTCCCTGAGATTTCTTAAAATTTAAATTTAGCCCTGGCTTGTGTGGCTCAGTGGATTGAGTGCTGGCCTGTGAACCAAAGGGTTGCTGGTTAAATTTCCAGTCAGGACACATGCCTGGATTGCTGGCTGGGTCCCCAGTTGGGGGCATGCAAGAGGCAACCACACATTGATGTTTCTCTCCCTCTCTTTCTCCTTCCCTTGCCCTCTTTCTAAAAATAAATAAATAAAATCTTTAAAATGTTTAAAATTTATATTTAAGTATAGACAGTATACAATATTAGTTTTGGGTATATAATATGGTGATTTGATATTTATAGATATTTTAAACTTCTTCACAGGTAAGCTTTCCCTCAGCTATTTCTACAGTTTTCAATATAAAACTTTATAATTCAATATTAATGGCTTTCAGTAATTTGTACAATCTGCAAATATTTTTCAAAGATCATCTCAACTCCCTATGCAGATCTTGTCACTGAAACTACAGGTGACTTGATAAATTATTTTACACCAAGGAGATGACATTATGGCTTCCCAAAACTTTATCTCAGGTTCAGATGCCCCTTTCCACACATGCACAGGTGTTGCCCTGGCACCTGCTGTCCTGACTGCAAATGCCATTTGGTGTTTATTTTTTAGATGGGTGTCAGATTCATTGACTTGTATCACTGAAATCTAGTAAAATAAAGACAAATATGAATCTGTCTCTCAGATAATGTTTTCTAGGATTGGAACACAAATACATTTCATATATAGTGATGAATGATGCTTCCTGAGAACATCTGATATCCCACCCCTTTGGCCACCTGTTTTAGGGCTGCCTGACACTTTTCTCTCCTCACAGCTTCTCTGAAGTCTTTTCATTTTCTCTGACTAAAGATACTGAACCTCATGTCATTTACTCTAAACTCTTCACACTGCAGACATGTACCCAGAAATTAGATGCTGCTGTTGAGCTCCCAGACCTGCAGAATCGCCTGGTGTCTCAGCACAGGTTTGGATTTGATGTATTTAGTTGCAAACCCACTGTGCTGCTATCTGTAATGATCCAGCTCTAAAATATCTGTCATCAGAAATGTTGACACTCTTCTTCCCAAGAGCACACATGTGCCTTTCTCGTCTTCTTTCCTCTCAAGGAGTACATTTCAGGACCCCAAGAAACTTACAACCAGGGGAGCAGTGGGCAACAGCTGTCCATCCCAGGCTAACTCTGTCTCCAAAGCCCCCTTTTTCTCTGACTTCTCAGTGAGCTGACAGCAGCCCTGCCTTGTCTCACTTTTGTTACTGTGACTTCTGTTTCTCAGTGAGTCAGAGCAGCCATGCCTAGGCTCTCTTTTGTTGCTTCTTTTGTCCTAAGCCCTTCTTGATTCACTGTCCTTAGCTTTAATAAACATACTTGCATAATTCTGTATGGTTTTTAAAATGTGATCAATGAACATTTGTTAAAACACTGAATAAACATGACACCTCAAAATCTTTCTTTTATGTTTACTCTTGTGGCTAGCCTAAAGGTACTCTTAAAAAAAAAGACTTTACTTATTTTTAGAGAGGGGTAGGGAAGGAGAAAGAGAGGAAGAGAAACATCAATGTGTGGTTGCCTTCCATGTGCCCTGCACTGCGGACCCAGCCTGCAACCCAGGGATGCACCCTAGACTGGGAATTGACCCTTCGACTCCTCAGTTCACAGTCCATTGCTCAGTTCACTGAACGACACCAGCCAGGGATAAATGTCTTCTTTTACTCTTTCCACAAGCTGGTATTGCTCAATGTGCTCATGGGGAAAACAATCAGGTTTTGAAGAGGCTATCCTCAGGGTGACCAAGGTTCCAGAAGATTCACATGCTCAACTGAAGATTCTAGCTATTCTCAGATTTCCATAACTTAACAAATTTCACTGGGGTCTTAAATGTTTTCACCCTTCTCTGATGTTTCCCCAGAGCTTTGTACCACTACCTTTAAAAAACTACATAAATAGTTCTAATAGTGTTACAATACAAAAGGGGGGGCCAAGGGCAGCCGAGGCAATATACTATTACCCAAAAGGAACCCCCCAGGTTCATTATGTCTGCCGCCAGAGGAAAGACATCTCTCAATGCCCAAGATTCGTGAAAAGGAAAATAATTTATTATTCATTTGAAATAACACAAACTAAAGTTCCCCACAAATGCACACAGCCCTCCCAGCACCCTCCATGTGGCAAAAGGGAGCACTACCAAAGCCTTGTGGTCCTGACTCTCACCCAAGCCTCATGGTCCCAACCAAGATACCAAAGCCACGTGGTCCCAAAAAGAGAGACGCCCAATGGCTACTGTGCCCCTGTGTAAATCCCAGAGCTAATCTTCCTCCGCAGCCCCATTTCCCGCTTCTCTCACAATTGGCCACAGCTGCCTGCATTCTGGGCAGGTGTGGCCCTGTGGTGTGGAGCCAATTATCTGCCAGCTCTTCTGGACCCTATTACAAATCCTTATTTGGGGCTCCCCTCTTGGCTGCACCCTGTTACAATCGTTTCTAATAATGTTAGAAACTATTAAAGTTATTATTAAAAACTTTGTGCAATTTCCACTTCACAACTGTTTTTCAAAAGATAATCTGAAAAAAAGTTTAAAAATACGTAATCTTAATTCGCCGTAGAGTAGTACTGTGCCTTCGGAATAGGAGAAATGCTTTTTTTCCCCCACAAAAATGACTGCAATGCTTCTGTCAGGTTACATGCATGAGAGGAACAATAAAATGATGTTTATTAGCTTTTATCTGAGTATGAATATATCTTATGTGTGAATGACTTAATGGAGTTGTATGTCCATTTGTATCAGTAGTCTCCCCGGGCATCTAAAATATTTTTAATCCTTTGAAGTGCTGAGCTCATGGGGTCTGAAATAATGTTTCCAAAAACTTTATTTGATCACTCGCAGACAATATTCCCCATAGATATGCATGAGGCTCTTTTGAGAAGCAGCGAAGCCCTCCTCCTAATCTTATCAGACCCCTCACTAGCCCCTCTAGGACGGGCCTGGTACGCGTGTGTTTGGAGGAGCTATCCGGTTGGCATTTGGGTGGAGACACACTTAGCCCAGGCCTTTGGAGAGCTGGGAACTACATTTCCCAGAGAACACTGCGCCGCGCCGAAAGGCAGTAGAGTTGCGCCAATGAAGGCCCAAGCTAAGAGCGACTCGGTATATGCGCATCGCGACGGGGCGGGACTTCCGGCCTTCGCTGGCGGTCATTTTGGCTACTCCGTGGTCTGTTCTGGTTCGGATGGAGGTACCTGTCCGAAAAGGCGCGAGAGTTGTGGTCTCCGCCGCAGAAACGCAGGTCTGAGTGTCCGCGACACATTCCGAGTGATCCGTGACAGTACCTTTGCCGCCGCCGCTCCCGCCCTGCCCCGCCCAGAGTCCGATGGCGGCGGCCGAGCTAGGGCGCCCGGCTGAGGTGAGTGCGCGTCCCCCGCGCCCTCCCCCCTCATCCTACCGAGTCCTGCTGCTTGGGTGCGGGGCTCCCGTCCTGTCCTGCCGCCCAGGTCCCGGCGTCCCGGACCATGAGGGGCTCGTGGGTGACACAGGGTGTGACGGGGGTTGTAGAGGGTGACGGGCTGCGGGACCGCTGTGTAAAGACGCGCAGGGCGGCTGTGCCGGGAGGATCCGGGAACCTGGAATTCCTCCTGTGTCCTTTTGGAACAGAGTGTTGAGGCCGAGTCACGCCCAGACTGTCAGGTTGGGGGGTTGTACCTCCATTCTGAGGACCCGGGCAGCCGTGGATAACCAAGAAGAGAAGAGGAACACGGTCTGGTTTAGGCTTTTATTTCTTTTTATAGTAAGTTCTGATTTTATTTCATTAACTTTTAATTTTTATTTTTTTAATCCTCACCCGAGGATGTGTTTATTGATTTCTGAGAGGAAAGAAAGAGAAACATCAGTGTGAGAGAGAATCATCGACAGTTGCCTCCTATACAGCTAGACCAGGGATCGAACCTGCAGTCTATGCATGTGCCCTGATAGGGGGGTTGAACATGCAACCTCATGGTGCGCCAGACAACGCTCCAACCTACTGAGCCACCCTGCCAGGGATGATTAAGGCTTTTAAGTTTCCCAAGAGCTGCTCAGGGGAAACGGACTGGATTGCAGGTGATGAGGACAGTGAGGCACAGAGAGACGAGTCCTTTTCATAGAGCTGGTGAGTGATAGCAGTGAGGTCTAAAGCACAGAGTTTAGTAATTGAACCCGAAGTCCCTTGTCCGGTAGTGTAGGCCAGAGGTTCAGGGGAGGTTTTTGCCCATTGAAACACCAGTGCCCCAGCCTGCTTCTGCCTACAGGTCCCTGTGGCTGAAGAAGCACTTAATGAATCCTATCCAGGAAAGTGCAGGGTGTCCCAGGTCCTCACTGATTCTGACTCCATCCAATTTGACTTTTGGGAGTGTGGTGTTTTAGGGCTCTTTAGCTGCCATTCTCCCAGCCCTTGGGTTTGGGGTCCTGGGAGAAATCCCCTAGACTCCTCCTTGAGCCTTGGCTGAAGGTTGTATGGAGGAGTTCCCTATTCTGGCCACCAGTAGAAAGAGGTGTAGGTTTTCCTGAGGACAGGTGAGAGTAAACCTGAGACAGATGCGGAGGCATGGGACGGGTTGAAATAAGATGGATTTACCAGAATTTTGTAGCAAGCTTTGGCAGGATATAGGGTGTGTCAGTCTTGCTGGTGAGCACAGTCACGGCAAATGTGGTCATGTGTGAGGATCATGACTGGTGTGGGTACTAGTATGGCAGGAATGTTAATGAAGGTTAGTTAGGTGAAAAGAGGAGAGTTGTAGCTGCTGAGGGGACGAATACAAAGCTGAAGTGGAAGGGGGTCGTGGGTATTTGAAATTCACATATGGTGTGTGTGACTAATGTGGAAATGAGGATTAAAGACAGGCAGAGAGGCCTCCAAAGCAGCATCCACAGCTACCCTGGTATTGGGATCTGCTGGAGGTCTTAAGTAGTACTGGACAGTGTTTGAATTTGCCAACTTCTCTCTGGATGCCATGCATCAAGTAACAGGAGGGCGTTCAGGGACATGACCATGGTGAAGAGCAGGGAGTTGGCAGTGGCTGTGGGGATGCAGCTGTGGGGTCTGAAGATGTGAGAGAGGTACATGTAGAGAGAGGGAATGTGAAATAATGGCCCCTGGTACTGGAAATGTAAAGGTAATGGGTGACCCCCAAGGCTATTGTGCTTTGAGGCATGATATGGAAGACCCCAAGGAAATTGCCTGAGAGGAATGGATGGGGCCCTGCAATATAGTCTCTGACCTTAGCTGGTGTCTGTTTGCCTACTGACCTGTCTTGGCTGAGGGCTGGGCACATTAAGGAACCCTAAGGAGCCAGCAGCACTAGTTGCATCAGGCCTTGTTATCTGATCTAAGGTGGGGAACTTGGGAGGAGGATGGGCATGGGCATGGGGTAGATGTTGGGGGTGGGTGGGTTATGGGTCCTCGGGAGAGAGGCTGTGGTTTCATCTGTCCCTGTCATGACAGGACAGTGTGACTCTGGAGGATGTGGTTGTGTACTTCTCCTGGGAGGAATGGGGTCTCCTCGATGAGACTCAGAGACGCCTGTACTATGATGTGATGCTGGAGAACTTGGCACTTATATCTTCGCTGGGTAAGACTCTTACACCCACCCCAGTGACCTGGACTAGATTTTGCCTTTCTGCTTTTTCCTAGGGGCTGCTCCATCCTTCTTACCCCGAGACCATAGACACTACCTCTTTTTCTAGTACCCTGCGTAGTGCTGTTTTTCCTTGGGTTGGGTTTTTGCACTGTCCTCTTCTCTCCCCTGCAGCCCAGTCCTGCTGCCCCAAAGCCTGGCAGGAGAGGATTCTGGTAACTAGTCTTGGAATCAGCTGGGTGGATCTCACCTTGCTTGCCCTCTCCTTGGCTGGGTAACTTTCCAGATCCATGGTATCTGTGTATCCCGGGTTTTGCTCCCCTTTTCTGACAGTTTTTCGTGCCTGCTGTGTCAGGAATTGCTGTCACTGACATGGACACTCCTTACATGCACCATGAGCTGTTCTTGTGAGAACCTCATCCAAGGTTCTTTTTGTAACATTTAGTTTTCTGTGGACAGTCATGATAAATTGCTGTGGGCTGGTACTGTCCACTTAACTGTCCTGTCTCCTTTAGGACTTGCATTGTCCAAGTCCCATGTAGTTGGTCAACTTGGGTTGATAGTGGGAAAGAGTCCTGGGTACTTCATAGAATGGATATCAGTCTCACCTTAGAAAGATTGGCTAAATGGGGCCTGGCCCTGCTAAGAGAAGACAGGTTCGCTGGGCTGTGTTCACATCCCACCAAGAACCTATTCAAACTAGTATTTTTTTTTCTATTTTTTTCTTTCCCATTCATGATCCTTGGCCAGCTTGTCATTTTTACTAATTTGTAACCCCTGCCTACTCCCAACTTTCCTGCCTCTACCTGTTACCCATTCTTCTTTACTGCTGACTCTGCAGTGTTCTCCAACCTTGGTTCACATTTATAACGGGGTGGTGTGCACATATCCTTAATAGTCATGGAACACCAGTGACTCCAACTCCCTCATCCTGAAAGAACCTCATGTATTCATTCTTTGGTGTGTCAGACACCTGTGTACATATTTGTGATGTTGCTGCCACTTGTCCCCAAAGACAACATGTACTTTACTAATATTTCTCTGTTTTCAGGTTGTTTGTGTGGCCTAGAGATTGAGAAAGCACCTTCTGGACAGATTGTTTCCTTGGAAAGATTGCCACAAGTCAGGACTCCAAAGCTAGATCTGTCAATCCAGACGGCTCCTGTCTCTGAGATGTGTGTTCCTGTCATGGGAGATATTTTGTCCCCAGATGAGTATCAAGGAGCACTTACTGGGCAGAAATTGAACCCATGTGTGGCATGTGGGAAACAGTTTTGTTTTAGTGAAAATCTTCACCAACATCAGGAGCACAGTGTAATGAAACCCTACAGCAAGGACATGGACGTGGCCTCTGTGAAGAGCTACAGAGGTCATTTGTCAGAGAAGAATTTCACCTTCGGGGAAATTGGAGAGGACTTCTTTACTAGTGTGGGTCTTTTCCAGCGCCAGGCCATTCCCAAAGCACTACTGAGTATACATAGCAGTATTGGGTGTGGGGAGGTCTTTCACAGTGGAAAACGTCATTATATGTGTGGTGCATGTGGGAAAACTTTCCGCCGCAAACGTACACTTGTTCAGCACCAGAGAATCCACACTGGAGAAGGACTGTATGAGTGTAGTGAGTGTGGGAAAACCTTCAGCTACAAGCACTCATTTGTTCAGCACAAGACAATCCACACTGGAGAAAAGCCTTTTGAGTGCAGTGAATGTGGGAAGGCCTTCAGGTTCAAATATAAACTTGTTGAGCACCAACGTATTCACACTGGAGAAAGGCCTTATGAGTGCAGTGACTGTGGGAAAGCTTTTGGATTTAAATCCAGACTTGTTCGGCATCAGAGAATTCACACTGGGGCAAAGCCTTATGCATGTGCTGATTGTGGGAAACTCTTTAGATACAGCTCTAGCCTAGTTCAGCACCGGAGGATTCACACTGGAGAAATGCCTTATGAGTGCAGTGAATGTCGGAAATGCTTTAGACAAAACTCCAGCCTCATTCAGCACCAGAAATTTCACACTGGAGAAAGTCCTTATGAGTGCAGTGAATGTGGGAAATCTTTTAAACACAGCTCCAGCCTCATTCTACATCGGAGAATTCACACTGGAACAAGACTATATGAATGCAGTGAATGTGGGAAGTCTTTTAGCCAAAATTATAGCCTCATTCAACACCATAAACTCCATAGTAGAGGAAGGCTTTAAGAGTGTACCCTCCAGGAGAAAGCCTTCAGCTTATAGTCCACTCTGATCCAACAGGAAAAACTTTACCACCCAGTTTTATGAATCCAGTGTGAGAATTCCACAGATGATAATGAACGGCATGAGACTTTGAAGGCCTCTATGAGGGGCCATCTTGAGTTTCAAGAATGTGAGTTTTCAGGAATTGAATTTTATATTCTGACCTGCTCAGGACCCTTGCTAGAATGATGCAAATTTCTGTGGCAGAAGTCATCTCACTTCTACCTCCTGGCAGGTTCCCACAGCATGTATCAGTCACCACAACATGGTCAGAAAAGAAGGGCACAGTTTGACAACTGATGGTGGCATTTTACATTCTTTGTGGCATTGCTGGTCTTGTGTGATATTTTTGATGGACTTTCTATCCTTCCAAGACCAGCCTGGAAACTCTGCCTCACATTGGCCTGGACTGTGCAATAATAAGTCCCAATTGCTTAAGTCACCTTTAACCTTAAGAGTTATATTTGCTGTGTGGGGTAAGTTGAGAACAGAATTGATCTTTGCCAGTGTGAAGAGGACAGCTTTCTTGAGATCTTCAGTATGATGTCAGAGAGTACCTCCTAGTACAATTTTTGCCTAATCTGTTAATGATAAAATAAAAATAAACATTTGGTGTTTGTCCCCAGTTCCTGGCACAGAGGTTCTAAAACCCTTGGAATCCCCTGAATGAGAAGAGCATCTTTGTATGATAATGAAATGACTCAAGGTAGGTGTCAATAAAGAGCTTCAGGAAGGGCTCTTGCCCCCAGATTTGAGGGTTAAAACTCTAGCCCTACCCCTTGGCCTGACGACACTGTGGAGGTGGAGATTGAACTCAGTCACCAATGGTCAGTGATGCATTCAACCTTGTCTATTTGATGACACCTTGATAAAAACCTCTAAATAAGAGCGGTTGTGCCCTGGCTGCTGTGATTCAGTGGATTGAGTGCCAGCCTGCAAACCTTAGGGTTGCCAGTTCAGTTCCCAGTCGGCATATGCCTGGGGTGCAGGCCCGGTAGGGGATGCATGCGAGGTAACCACACATTGATGTTTCTCTTGCTCTCTTTCTCCCTTCCCCCTCTTAAAATTAAATAAATTTTTAAAAAGAGTTTGAGGAGCAGCTGAGTTGGTGAACACATCCAACCAAGGGAGGGGTGTACCCTGACCCCACTGGGATAGAGGCTGTTGCACTTGGGGATTTTCCAAACCTCATCCTATGTATCTTCTGGCTGTTGACTGTGTCTTTTATAAGAAACTAATCATAAGTATAGCATTTTCCTGAATTCTGTGAGTAATTCTAACACATTACTGTACCTCCATGGCAGGGGCAGGTGGTAGTTTATGGGAATTCCAGATTTGTATTTGGCCTGGAAGAAGTGTGGGTCACCCAGGGACCCCATTTATACTTGGCACCTGAAGTGGAAGTAATCTTGTGGAAATGAGTCCTTTATGTGTGGGATCTGTGCTAACTCCATATAGTGTCAGAATTGAATTAAATGGACTTGGAGAATTGGGAATTGTTGGAATGATGTATTTGGTTTCATAAAAAGCCACACACTACTTGGGGTGGTGAACACAATAACAATATACAGATGATGTGTTACAGAATTGTACCCCTGAAACCTATGTAATTTTATTAACCAATGTGACCCCAATAGATTCAATAAAGGAAAAAATGAAAGAAAAGCCATGTACTGCACAAGGCCTTCTGGAAAAGACTGTAGGCATTTGTGATTTGCCAGGACTTTTTGTAGGCCCAGGGATTTGAGGAGGGTGCAGTTGTGACAACCTACAGTAATTTCTGTCAGTTACAGTGAGAGAAATCAACAGTGCTTGAATTGTGCAGCATGAAATTATTAAAGCCTGATTATCTAAAATGAATCAGGAATATAAAAAGTGCTTAAGTCTTTGGCTCTGAAATTATTGTGAAATACCTGAATGTTAAAGCCAGTTTAAAAAAAAAAAAATCCTTGTATCAGTAATTACCATTAAACCTGGAGTTAATCCCTGACTGGTATGACTCAGTGGGTTGAGCAACATTCTATGAACTGAAAGTTTGCAGGTTTGATTCCTGATCAGAGCACGTGCCTGGGTCATGGACCAGGCCCTCTGGTTAGCATGTGAGAGGCAACCAGTTGATGTTTCTCTCCCTTTTTATCCCTCTCTCTCCCTCTCTCTGAAAATAAAATTTTTAAGAAAAAAACTTGGAGCCCTGGCTGGTGTGACTCAGTGGATTGATCGTGGAGATGTAAACTGAAGGGTCACCAGTTCAACATTTGGTTGAGGCACATGCCTGGGTTTCAGGCCAGGTCCCCTGATGGTGATGTATGGGAGGCAACTGATAGATGTTTCTTTCACGCATTGATATTTCTCTCCTCTTTCCCTTCCCTCCTCTCTAACAAATAAAAAGCATTTTAAAAAAAGTCTATCTTTGTTCATGTTTATTTTTAACAATTTCAGTTTTTACTGAATGATTCTTGCCTTCCTCTGCCTTCCAGGCTACAATTGGGCAGGGTCCTCAGGAAAAAAAAAAAAAAATCATATTTGGGAGGCAAAAATCTTCAGGTTAGCCAGAAACATCCCAGCCCAAGCCAAGCTTCCTTCCATGTCATACATCATAGTGTCCTTGTCTCATCTTTCATCTCCAACTGATACTTTTCAGACAGCTTCACTGTGTTTGCCCCTGGCTGTTCTTATCTCTCTTTCTGAATGAATTAAACACTAGTAATAGCTTCATTTTACAGTTTTTTTCAGAGAGAATCTCAACTCCCTGCGCAGACATTGACAGGGACAATGACTCTGCCATTACAGGTGATATGGTAATTCCCAGCAAGGAGATGAGCTCATGGTGTCTCAAACCTTTAATCTCGAGGATAAGATACCCCCTTTTGCACACATGCTCCAGGTGCAACCAGGACACCTGCTATTCCAGCAGGCAATGACATTTGGTAAGTGGAGCTTCCTTTTAAAAAATTTTATAGAGATTATGTTGCTTAGAAAACATCTTAAGTGTGTGTTTTTTCTGGAGTGAGAACATGGACATAGGCATGTACAAAAAGGATATTTTCTGAGGGCTCCTAAGAATAGAGACCTAAAGTTCCTGTCCCTGGGCTGTCTGCCTTCTGTCCTCTGCTTTCTCTGTCAGCCTTCTGAATTTCTGGGGTTAGGGAGCAGGAATTGCCAGGTAATATTACTGCATTAAAACCCTGTAGTTTTGGTAGTCCCTGAGCTTTAGCAGCTGCTTTGAATCTCTGGTTTCCAAAGCCATCTCCCCAAACTAATCTCTAGGTCTGTTCTAACCACCAAGCTCCCAGAAAGGAGCTATTGAAAGAGATTGATTGTCCTGCCATTTTCTGAGGAAGTAAGATGAGCCCAATGTAGCTTTTAATTGTGCCTCCATAGAAAGCAATTTGACCAAAGAAATGAGGGGCTTTATTTGTATATGAGCATCTGTATTTCTTAAAGGACATGTGGGATCAGAATTCACAAAACATTCATGTCTACATTTTTTTAAAAAGATTTTATTCTCAGAGAAAGGGGAAAGGAGGGAGAAAGAGGGAGAGAAATATCAATGTGGTTGCCTCTCATGTGTCCCCCACTGGGGACCTGACTGGGAAATTGAACTGGTGACTCTGGTTCGCAGCTGGCACTCAATACACTGACCTACACCAGCCAGGCAAAATTCATTTTTATGATTTACCTTTATTATGATTACCATTCATGAACAATCCTCATATCTCTTACTTGGATTTGTTAATCTTTTTTTTTTCAAGATTTTATTTACTTATTTTTTTCAGTCTTTTTTTAAATTTAATTTTTATTTTCAGAGAGGGGAAGGGAAGGAGAAAAAGGAGAAACATTGATGTGTGAGGGAAGCATTGATTGGTTGCCTCTTTCATGCCCCAAACTGGGGATGTGGCCTGCATCCAGGCATGTGCCCTAACTGGAATCAAACCAGCAACCTTTTGGTTTGCAGGCTGGCACTCAATCCACTGAGCCACACCAGCTAGGGCTCTTTTTATTTAAATTTATCATGCATTTGCCTTATAATTTCTAACAAAAATCATATTTTACATTTATGTTGTTTCTTCTCTTCAGAAATGCTTATTTATATACTTTCAATGTTAGAAAATATGTGATCATCTATCTCATTGGTTATGATGAGCACTTAGAATATAATTGATTGCCTCACATTTCACTGTTCTTCTGTAACATAAAATTTTCTGTGCTTTGTCTTTATATTTTTTATGCCTTTCACCTTACATAAGTTGTACATTTTTTATACTCTAATAAGTCTTTTTTATGCATTACTTAGTACATATCACAGTTTTCAAAAATATATATATATACTATATGATTTATCAGTTAGGTTTAGATTTTTCTATATATATGCTAGTATATAATGTTTTCTATATGTCTAAATGCCATGCAGTAGAAATTTAGCTTCATTTTTTCAAATAAGTTTGCAAAGATCTTCGTAAACATTAAATAAGCTTTTATTTCCCAAATATTTTTTAAATTCCTTTTAGTCACACTAAATTTCTACTATTTTTAATACATGTATATAGAAAAAGATCTATCTGATTTTAATCTGTATTTACCTGCCTACCTCTCTACATATCAAATACTTCGAAACATTTTATAGACTTTCTTTTCATAGTGTATTTCATTGCCTCAATTTTACTCTCTCATTATTGACTAAGAGCAGGCTTTTTATTTTTAACAGTAATGCCTTTTTTCCAATAACTGTTAGAATTAATCTGCTAAACTCAATTTCATTTATTTCTCCTTTTCCACCAGCATAGGAAACTTGTAAATATTATTTGGTTATGTTACATTGTTTATGCACACTTTTATTTATTTTATGGATTTATTTACAACAATGTTTTATTTTTATTTAGATTTTTAAAGTATTTTTTATTGATTATGCTATTACAGTTTTCCCAATTTTTTCTCCCTTTGTCCACCCTGCCCCGCCATCCCTCCAGCATTCCATCACCTTAGTTCATGTCCATGGGTTCTACATATAAGTTCTTTGAGTCCTCTGTTTCCTGTGCCATTTTTTATCTCTTCCCGTCTATTTTATGCCAAATAATTATGCTTCTCCTTCTCTGTACATTTTCCCTTTATTCCTCCCTTTCCACTCCCCACTGACACCCCTCCATGTGATGTCCATTTCTCTGATCGTGTTCCTGTTCTAGTTGTTTGCTTAATTTTTGTTTTCATTGTTTGTCTTTTCTTTTAGGTTCATTTGTTGATAATTGTGAGTTTGTTGTCATTTTATTGTTCATATTATATTCTTTTTCTTAGATAAGTCCCTTTAACATTTCATATAATAATGGCTTGGTGACGATGAACTCCTTTAACTTGACCATATCCGGGAAGTACTTTATCTGCCCTTCCATTCTAAATGAAAGCTTTGCTGGATAGAGTAATCTTGGATGTAGCTCCTTGCCTTTCATGACTTCAGATACTTCTTCCCAGCCCCTTCTTGCCTGCAAGGTTTCTTTTGAGAAATCAGCTGATAGCCTAATGCATTCCTTTGTAGCTAACTCTCTCCTTTCCTCTTGCTGCTTTTAGGATTTTCTCTTTATGTTTAATCTTGGGTAACTTAATGATGATGTGCCTTGGTGTGTTCCTCTTTGGGTCCAACTTCTTTGGGAGTCTCTGGGCTTCCTGGACTTCCTGGAAGTCTATTTGCTTTGCCAGATTGTGGAAGTTTTCCTTATTTGTTCAAGTAAGTTTTCAATTTCTTGCTGTTGTTCTTGTCCTTCTGACACCCCTATAATTCATATATTGGAACGTTTCAGGTTTTCCCAGAGGTTCCTAAGACTCTCTTCACTTTTCTGAATTCTTGTTTCTTCATTTTGTTTTGGTTGGATGTTTATTTTTTCCTTTTGTTCCAAATCATTGCTTTGAGTCCTGGTTTCCTTCCTGTCACTGTTGGTTCTCTGAATATTTTGCTTTATTTCATGTTGGGTATCTTTCATTTGTTTTTCATTTTTTGACCAAGCTCAATCAGATCTGTGTGCATTTTGATTACCAGGGCTTTAAATTCTCCATTAGATAGGTTGGCTATGTCCTCATCATTTAGTTCTCTTTCTGAAGTTACACTCTGTTCTTTCATTTGAGCCGTATTACTTTGTCTTGGCACAACTGGTAAGTTGTAAGGGCGCCGGGCCGTAGGAATTCCTGAGGCAGGGCAGCCCTCCTTGCTGCTTTGTGGTGCTGCCTGTGGGGGAGGGGCCAGAGAGGGAACAATGCAGCTGGCTTGCTCATCTCTAGTGCACTTTTCAACGAAATCTTATGTGAGACTGGGAGTTTCTCTCACTATAGAAACCACTGTATCAACTTTGAGTCTCAGTTTCCCCTTAAGTCAGCCCCACCCCCACAGCCTGCTGCCTTCCCAAGGTTTTTCTACACAGGCCAACTCACATGGTCTGCCGCCTTACCGGTCTGGTTGTTCTGACTGATTTTTTCTCTAATTCCTTGGTTGTCAGAGTTCCATGC